TTAAAATGAATGAAAAAAAAAAAAGATTGTACTGACCAAATTAATAGGGGTTACATAAAGGTACAAGCAGCTTCTTTCATCTTTATCTGTATTTGAACCATTATATTGGAAACACATCTCAGTTGTTTTCTTCTCACTCTGTAAAACATTTCATAGCTTTACAGTAGGTACATCATTTTCTGTTTATTCAGAAACAATGAAAAAAGGGTCAGTAATGGGTTAAGAATAATCCTTGTGTTTATGTTTAACCTTAGTACTTCTCTTCTGATCTGTGGAACTATAAACATGAACTATTTCTCAACAATAGGAAAGGACCAGGGCCAGATTAACACTTTGTTGTACCCTGGGCAACAATATTCAAGGGCCCCATCATCACGACCCCAGGATCACCATAATATGGTCATATATAGGATATATTACTGTAATATACAGTAGAAATACTCAATACTTCAAATCCTAACTGTCATTAGGTGTATTTTCATTTACAAATATTTAAAGCTCATAGAACTACGAATGCACTACTATGTCCCCTATCAAAGACATTCACTCACATATGATGCTATGAAAACAAAACACATCAGCATCTGTATAATCTGGTAACATTGACCCACTACATTTGAGAGGGAAGGAAGTATCCTCCATTTTCACAAAAAATGAATAGATAAGCAACCACTTTTAAACCATTGTTTATTTAACAACACTTATTCCCAATAGAAATGTATGGAAATAGATAGAGCTATCACAGAAGACCACAGACAACAGATCAAGCAACATTTTGGTCCTCTGCTCATTGAACTTGTTTTAAAATATAACAACATGCTATAGCACAATTAACCAGTCAAACATTTTAGTGCTACATAAATACACTACACAATACAATTTCTCTGAAGAAGACGAGATAAAATAAATGGTATATAATCTGGCAAAACACAAAATTTTAATCCTAAATAATGAGGAAGTGCATGTTTGCTTTCATTTGGCATCTTATACTGGCTTTTTTCTGGACTTTGACTGTGCAAACTGATGTATGATCTCTTCGAAATCAAGGCCACTAACAAGTTCATGTTCAATGGCTAAGAGAGAAAGTGCAGAGAGCCGTGTCTGAGACATTGTGGTCCTCAGCTCATTTTTAACTCGTTTCAAAACAGAAAATGACCTCTCACCCTCACAGTTAGATACAGGTAAGGTTAAAAACAGTCTTAGTGCAACATAAACATTCGGAAATGTTGTCTTAAGTCCATGTCTGTCAAGAGCTTGCAGCTGCTGTACAGGTGAAGTTTCATACTGCACAAAGTGCTTGAACTGAATAAGTTCATCTGACAAGGAACTATCCAGATCTGTTGGATAAGTGGAGCTCAGTTTAGCATCTCTTACACGCACATCACAATCGTCACAGTCCCTCTCAAACAAAACCACAAAGAGGTCACACACATGTGAAAGAAAAAAAAAACGATGTCCAGAATCACTGTAAAACCTGCTGCTCCTCCTGCTGATGTTTAGACACAAGTCCTGTGTGTGTGCAGATGTGATCTAAAGCCAAGGGCCGCTAGAAAAATCATGTTTTACATGAGATTTTAATGGGAGACGCGTTGGTGCCCTAACAAAATTAGAAATCTGCTGCGCTCTAATTTAGGATGGATTTCTAATTTTGTGCGCGCACCAACGCGTCTCCCATTAAAATCTCATGTAAAACATGATTTTTCTAGCGGCCCTTGGCTTTAGATCACATCTGCACACACACAGGACTTGTGTCTAAACATCAGCAGGAGGAGCAGCAGGTTTTACAGTGATTCTGGACATCGTTTTTTTTTTCTTTTATAAAGTCTCGCGTCTGGCCAAACCAGCGCACAGAGACCATGAAGACAAACACATGCATGTGATTTGTGTTGCTCTACATCAGTCCTCTGGCCCGTACTGTCCTCTACACTGCTCCATAGACTACACAGGGAGAGCATCAGAAGACGCGGACCTGCGCGCACGGTCAGTGTAGATACTCCAAAAAAATGTTACGCGCAGAGAGCGCGCAGTAAACGCGTACGTGCTGTTTACGCCTACTGTGTAAATTCCCCGTAACAGTATTTTGCTCGTGCCCTTGCTGTCTGGGCCCTTTAGATGGGCCGCCCATGACGGCCCTCCGTGGGCCCTGGGCCCAGACAGCAAGGCCCTTTAGATGGGCCGCCCACGGAGGGCCCCTGGGCAATTTCCCAGTTGCCCGTATGGTTAATCCGGGCTTGGAAAGGACAAGTTATCTTTTTAAAAAAATAGACCAGACAAACAACACGCTTCCTATTCAAATATTTCTTAAATTAGTACTTTAAAAAACATAGACATACAAGTCACATCCTCTGGATACATATATGCATGAAACAAACCAGTGGCACCGCATGGGTAGAATAAAATTGAGCACAATTTATAAACAAAAGCAGGATTGGTCAAGGCAAGGCAAGGCAAGTTTATTTATATAGCACGATTCATACACAAGGCAATTCAAAGTGCTGAACAAAATAAGAAAGCATTAAAATCATAAATAATCACAGAACATTAAAAAGAAAGATAAAAATATAAAATCCCTCAGTTGTATGCACAGCTAAACAGAACTGTCTTTAACCTGGTTTTAAACATTGTCAGAGAGGAGGCCTGTCTCACATCTTCAGGAAGACTGTTCCAGATTTTTGCAGCATGAATCTGAAAAGCAGCCTCCCCATGTTTAGTTCTGACTCTGGGCACTAACAGGAGTCCAGTCCCTGTGCTCCTCAGAGTCCAGGCTGGTTCATATGGTACTAACATGTCACTAATATATTTTGGTGCGAGGCCATGGAGAGACTTGTACACAAGCAGAGCTGTTTTAAAGTCTATTCTCTGAGCCACAGGAAGCCAGTGCAGAGACCTGAGAACTGGACTTATGTGGTCGTACTTCCTGGTTCTAGTCAGGACTCGAGCTGCTGCATTTTGAATGTACTGCAGCTGTTTTACAGCCTGTTTGGACAGACCTGTGAGCAGGCCATTGCAGTAGTCTAACCTACTGAAGACAAATGCATGGATAAGAATCTCCAAATCTGCTTTAGACACTATGTTTTTGATCCTGGCAATGTTTTTTAGATGGTAAAAAGCTGCTGATGTTACTGATTTGATGTGGCTATTAAAATTTAAGTCTGAGTCCAGTATTACCCCTAGATTTCTGACCTGGTTTGAAGGTTTTAGGGAGACAGACTGGAGGTGACAGATGATGCTCTCTCTTGTTTCTAGGGACCAAAGACAATAATTTCAGTTTTGTCTGCGTTTAGCTGAAGGAAGTTGTTTTGCATCCACTCACTGATCTGTTGGATACAGTGAAGGAGTGAGTCCACTGGTCCATGTTCTCCTGCAGTCAGTGAGACATAGATCTGAGTGTCGTCTGCATAGTTGTGATAGGACACTTTGTTTCTGCGTATTAACTGACCTAACGGCAGCATGTAGAGATTGAAAAGAAGGGGCCCCAGGATCGACCCCTGTGGTACTCCACAGGTCAGGGCCATATGATCTGAGACACAGTTTCCAATCTGGTCAACATCTGGTCAACATCTTACTCAAGTCGCATTCAAGGCAATCAAACATCATTAAGTACAGTACAGTCTCTACAGTATTCAAACATGTAGCAGCAACTACAAGACTTTTTGGAGGAAAAAACATGAGCTTTTCCACTTTCCCCGTTCACCTTATTCACACAAGAAAAAAGTCAACGTAATACCCAAAGTGTCCTGTTGATACTATTACAAAGAAAACAAGTATTATTTTAAAAAAATAGGGATGTTACAAATGTAACTTTAATGCAGAAGAAACTGGTTTAGATGCTCATGATTTGGACCACAGCTTAGCTCTTCTTTATAGACCTTGGCAGGTTCATTATCTGTATCCATGAGGCAGTAACTTATTGCAGTGATTCTTATACAAAATAGAACATACATAACTACATACAGACATATAAAGGAACATACCTAACTACATACAGACATATAAAGGAACATACATAACTACATACAGACATATAAAGGAACATACATAACTACATACAGACATATAAAGGAACATACATAACTACATACAGACATATAAAGGAACATACATAACTACATACAGACATATAAAGGAACATACATAACTACATACAGACATATAAAGGAACATACATAACTACATACAGACATATAAAGGAACATACCTAACTACATACAGACATATAAAGGAACATACATAACTACATACAGACATATAAAGGAACATACCTAACTACATACAGACATATAAGGAACATACATAACTACATACAGACATATAAAGGAACATACATAACTACATACAGACATATAAAGGAACATACATAACTACATACAGACATATAAAGGAACATACATAACTACATACAGACATATAAAGGAACATACATAACTACATACAGACATATAAAGGAACATACATAATAACGTATTAAAAAATGACGTGTTCAAAATCCCTTATAAAGATGACCAAGATTCAGGAAGTTAAATTCAAAAAGGTTTATTTCCCTAATACAAAAAGAATCTAAAACAGCTGTCTGGACCAAAAGTAACTATCCCTTATTCTCTATATAAAGTATAAAGTATAACTTTGGGTGGGCGCTCCACGCGAAGTCACACTACTGTCCCTGGTCCGGTAAAAAACTAACTTAACACATTCAAGCTATTCACTATAAGTAAATGTGCAGGAAGAAGGGGCGTGGTATCAGGCAGCTTCCGGTCCCGTGATCCGCCTTCCACCATCTGGTCTTCTCGTCTCCACCTAAAAAGAGATTCATGCTTCCTAACCTAAAACTCCAGGCAGCTGTCACTGGTCTGAGATCAATCTCTGTTTTAATTCTGGTTCTTAATGCTAAATATAACTACATCCATAAAACACACAAACATTAATTTTTAATCAACAAAGACAATAGTAAACGGTATAACACATATCTGCACACTGGCAAAGTCAGTGAGTTAATGAAGTAGTCACGGAAGACGAAGCAGAAAGAAACATTCATCCACAGTAGAAACTGGCTCCAGGTTTTTAGAGACGTACCTGTATTCTTTGAAGAAGTCAGACGGCTCGAACAACTGCTTCCAAAGCGACCCGTTTTGAAGACCATGCTCCATTATTGCGTGACCTGTGAATAGAGAGTACATGATAAACTTGAAGACCATAGAGAGCTTAGAGGGAAGTCCACACAGCCTGATCAGAAACGTACCTCGCCGAATCTCCTCCTTCATGATTTTTAACGTGGACGGATTGACATTGTAGGACGAGTTCTGCTGCGGATATGAAGGCGTGATGATGGCCATTTGCTCCTGCCTAGTCATCTGGTAATATCAACCAACACATTATACTGAATATCTTACAACAAACCACAAGCTGTTCTTTAAGCAGAAGTCATTAAAGTGAGGATCTCATTCAACAAGAATGCATCTAAAGCAAGGATCAAATATGAAGTAATAAATGCTCGAATCAAGTGGGTTTATCTTAATCTGAGTAAATTCTGACTGTCTTAAAACAAGATTTGCCAATGGGACAAAGCCATTTAGTCTTGTTTCAAGAACAGTTGTTTTATGTTCTCATTCCAAGGGAGACTTTTTTTGTAAATTTTTTCAAACAAGATCATGTTGCTTGTCCCTTTGGCAAATCTTGTTTTAATGCAGTCAGAATGTGCTCAAATTAGTTTGTCAATTTTCATCACTTTTTGCAGTGGACATAGTGTGTAACAAAAAGAGCTTTCTGACAATCAATGCGTATCCCAAAAATCAAGTTTGTGTGAGGTAAAAAAATTACTGCTTTTGCAAACTTTTTATTATTTAAAAAGTAATGCATTCTAAAATCATAACTTACACTTGGATGCCATGAGGGCAAGTTGCAGTTTTGCTCCTCTGGGACTCTCAGCATGACAGGAGAGGCCCAGTTCCTGTTTGACAAGAACAAACACATTTATGAGATCATGATCACAATTATTGCCTGAAGTGTCCTTGTTCCATATTATTATTATTAATATTATGACCATAGAGGACTCACCAGCTGGAGTAGACCCTGAAAAATGTTGCCACCGTCACTGCAGCCGTGGCATACGGGCACATCTGGCAGATCCTGGCCAGCATGATGCCACATGACACTCCACACAAGAAGCCCAACATGTTGGAGTAGATGTTTCTTCCTACAGTAAATAAAGCAGCCTGGTAACTCTTTGTAGACGTACTCGTACATGTACTCTTCGGGATCTTGGTGTGACATACTTTTGGCCCACTGCTTGATAGCAGCCAGTGCCAATCTAAAAGTGTAGGCATTGGGCACCAGGCTCATGATCTCCTGTGTGCCCCGGTAACCCTGGAGACTGCGGACAGAGATCACGTCCATCTCCTGTAGAATAGTGCTGTCCATCAAGTCCAGGCTGTCGGACACTCGCCTCCCGTTGATTTTTACGTAGACCATGTCGACCTAATGGCACAAATACCAAAGACCACAGCCATTTATGTCATGGAAATTATATTTTTATTATTAATATTATCAATATCAATTAGCAACTCAAAAAGAGCCAGTTTAAATGACTCTTTCTTACCTCTACTGAATCAACAATCAGTTTGATGACGGGCACAAATGCATTCTCAAGAACCTGAGAAATCAGAAATTCTATTAGTGAACATTACATTCAGAAAGAAGTGAAATCAAATATTTTGACTTACATGTTTGACTTGAACATGCTGTTGTCCTCTTAGTTTCTCCACAAAGGAGGAGAAAAAGGATTCCCGAGGAATGAACCGTGGTCCCACGCACAGCAGGTCGATGTCTGCGTCCTTCATGTTTTGACCCATTGCAAAAGATCCATACGAAAGCACCTTGCCGCCCACCTGCTCTCTGACCAACTGAGGCACGTTCTGAAAGAGCACAGATCAGTGGAAACTCAACTTACACGCACTCAATGTTTAAGACTTTAATATTCTGCCACTTTGATAGGACAGAATATACAGCTCATCCAGATGTCAATAACACAACTGTCCTTATTCCTCACAAACAAATCAATACTTTAATGTGTTTTGACTTAAGGGTTGTAACATGTGGTCACTTGCAGCTATTATGATCTATGTTTGTAAGAAAGAAAATACACATGATTCTGTGTTATTGCCCAAAATATTTTGTACGAAGATGTGTGTCCCTCTATGTTCTTCCGCATTCAACATGATCAAGTTTCGCGTTTAATGATGTTACTGCAGAACATGGCCTGGTGTAATGATGCCTGTTATCAACTGAGTTTGATACTAATATCAAGAAGTCTTACCATTTCAGTGCACATCTCTTGCAGCCATTGCTTGAAAAGGGACGAAAGATTTCCCACAATCTTTTCCCTACAAAAGACACAACATGAGAGGCGCTGTATTTGTGTGTAATGATAGAAAGCAGGTTATTTTTTCTTACCGGTGCTCCACCTCATCGTGACCGCTGAACACATTGGCTGTCTTTAGAAACTCAGTCAGTCTCGTAGTCTGACAGAGTTCTTCCACAGAAGGAAACTCCTCACCAATCGGCCTGCTGAGCCCAAACCGTTTGGGAGAATCCTTCAAAGTCTTGAGAAACCTAAAGAAGTATCATACAAACTCAGTCAGTCAGACTTCTGCACAGCTTTGCTGCAAAGACATGAGCCAAAAGATCACTAGTTCAGTGTAGTGGTAGTAGTTCAGTCGGTATTGGAACAGGGACAGTGCACAGATCATAGACTGTATACAGTATATTAACGGACAGAGTCACGCCTATCTCCGCCGTTCTAACTAATGGGCCAAAAAATGTGCTCTACTGGAGCTATCCAAAATGGCCGCGAGTGGTCCCGCCAACAAGAAAATTGTGAAAAAACGCATCTGCGCATACGTCAGCTGGCGAGAGCTCCATTCATTTGAACGAGGGACTTCAAAAATTCACAGCAAGTAAACTAGAGTGGACCAAAAAAATCCACCCCCCTCAGCATTGACACACATGTGGAACGGACCTTTGGGCAAAGAGCCAACTTTTGGTCCATCCTGTAAAGACATTTTTTAGAGGTCTGCCAATGCTATATGTTAGCATTGGCTAATTCTACTTCTGGGTCCACCCCCATCGGCCCGGGGTGGTATTGCAAGCATGTCAGCGCACGTCATTTTGGCCACTTTTGAGCTGGGACCCGCTCAAAGACATGTATGTTCTGCACCAGATTATGGTTACACAGCTAATTTCCATCTGCAGTCCCTAGTTATATGAAAACAAAATACAATACAATACAACACAGTAACCATACAATAACAAACACCTCACACTTCTATCTCACAGACAAGACATCCTCTCATTCGTTCAAAATCACTGACCATAAAATCCATACATACATTTCACACTACTATCCACAGTAGCCTTTTCTCACACATGTCAGTAGTCATGTCAGTTGTGTGTGTTATTGTATAGTTTGAAGACTGTACCAGTAATCACAGTAACAGACCAAATCTTATTTCAGCAAAATGTTATATTTAAATCATGAGTCCAGTTGTCTTGTTTGAGATATTGTTTGCATTTGTGTTATACTACACAAATGTTTACATAAAATAAACATAGAAAGCCTATATATATTATAACATTGTAACTTACCTAGACATTTCTGCAAATACAGCCATATCATTGAAGATTTAAGTGGTTTTTTTAAGTAACATGACCAAAAACCAGCTTTTCCCAGTATAGTTCGGTTGAAAGAGAACGGTTATCACTGTGATCTGTATAAGGCCAATTGGCATTATGTCGTGTTCCATCTCCATCTCCTTGTCTCCATGGTTCCATCTCCTTATCGCCATGGTGATTCAGAATGCATCCTATTTTATCCTATGATGTCGTTTTGTTTTGAAATTGTTGTCAAAAACACAATGAAAAGAGATCATGTTCTTTTCCTACTATAGATAAATGAAATATATATATATATATATATTTCCTAATATATATATATAATTCCAATGCTATCCTGCATTAGCATTTAGCACTGCAAGTATTTTTTATATACTGATCTTGTCTGATATTTTTGGACAAAATTCAAACCATTTATTAATCAAAATTCATTTTAACTTCAAAATCACAGTATACGATAATCATGGAAAACAGTGTTACCATTATAAGATTAAGAGAATGCTTCCCACACTGGGGAAATGTCAGTGTTTCATCGCAAGTTACAGACAGTAGAAATAAAGAGCAGCACAAGATAGATTACATTATTATTATGGTAAATATTGGCCAATAATGACCTATACGAGTGTCTGAGGAGGGGCACACACATTTAAAGATACAGCCAGAGTGCAGAACCAAACAATGTCTTCATTCAATCCAACAACAACACATCAATGTTTTTCAAAGACACAACAGACATAATTTCTATATTGTCTGGAAAAACATCAGCAGAGGAAATCTTGATAGTCATAGGAGCCTGCATGTGGTAAAACAAATATTTAAAAGTGTATTTCATAAGTGTAAAATTGTGTTGGGTTTCATATCTTGTTTGATATGATTATGTCACTATGAAATACAGTGCCTTGCGAAAATATTCGGCCCCCTTGAACCTTTCAACATTTCGCCACATTTCAGGCTTCAAACATAAAGATATAAAATGTTCATTTTTTTGTCATGAATCAACAACAAGTGGGACACAATCGTGAAGTGGAACGAAATTTATTGGATAATCTAAACTTTTTTAACAAATAAAAAACTGAAAAGTGGGGCGTGCAATAGTATTCGGCCCCTTTACTTTCAGTGCAGCAAACTCACTCCAGAAGTTCAGTGAGGATCTTTGAATGATCCAATGTTGTCCTAAATGACTGATGATGATAAATAGAACGCACCTGTGTGTAATCAAGTCTCCGTATAAATGCACCTGCTCTTTGATAGTCTCAGGGTTCTGTTTAAAGCGCAGAGAGAACCATGAAGACAAAGGAACACACCAAGCAGGTCCGAGATACTGTTGTGGAGAAGTTTAAAGCCGGATTTGGATACAAAAAGATTTCCCAAGCTTTAAACATCTCAAGGAGCACTGTGCAAGCAATTATATTGAAATGGAAGGAGTATCAGACCACTGCAAATCTACCAAGACCCGGCCGTCCCTCCAAACTTTAATCTCAAACAAGGAGAAGACTGATCAGAGATGCAGCAAAGAGGCCGAACTGCAGATAACTACAGCTGAGGTGGGAGAGTCTGTCCATAGGACGACAATCAGTCGTGGACTGCACAAATCTGGACTGCACAAATCGAACTTTTTGGCCACAATGCAAAACGATATGTTTGGCGTAAAAGCAACACAGCTCATCACCCTGAACACACCGTCCCCACTGTCAAACATGGTGGTGGCAGCATCATGGGTTGGGCCTGCTTTTCTTCAGCAGGGACAGGGAAGATGGCTAAAATTGATGGGAAGATGGATGGAGCCAAATACAGGACCATTCTGGAAGAAAACCTGTTGGAGTCTGCAAAAGACCTGAGACTGGGATGGAGATTTAAGACCTGAGACTGGGATGGAGATTTATCTTCCAACGGGACAATGATCCAAAACATAAAGACAAATCTACAATGGAATGGTTCACAAATAGACGTATCCAGGTGTTAGAATGGCCAAGTCAAAGTCCAGACCTGAAGCCAATCGAGAATCTGTGGAAAGAGCTGAAGACTGCTGTTCACAAACGCTCTCCATCCAACCTCACTGAGCTCGAGCTGTTTTGCAAGGAAGAATGGGCAAGAATTCCAGTCTCTCGATGTGCAAAACTGATAGAGACATACCCCAAGCGACTTGCAGCTGTAATTGCAGCAAAAGGTGGCGCTACAAAGTATTAGCGCAAGGGGGCCGAATAATATTGCATGCCCAACTTTTCAGTTTTTTATTTGTTAAAAAAGTTTATTATTATTATTATAGTCTATTATTATTCATAGTGGGTTTAAGAGTATTATAATAATCTGATTTATGATTCTGTAATGTATGATAGGTATTTTTGCAAAACACACAATGTTGTGTACATACAAATGTTAGGGACATTTGACTTTCAGGTGAAATGTATGGAAAATAAATTATGCAACAAGTGACACTGAAAAGTTATGCACTAATGCTAGCCCGAAGTAACAGACATTTTAGGACACATTTGAAGAGGATCTGATTATGGATGTAGGTTGGGTATATAAATGGGGGACTCACTGCCGATGGTCAGAATTCTTTGTTCAGTTTTCATGTAGTTCCAGAGAGTTTTTGAACTAGCTAGCTTAGCTGTTATCCGCCTAGCACAATAGATCCATGGCCTAGCCACATCACAGCGAAACCTTTGGGAGCTGTTTATTTTATTTGCAGTCATTAAATACATTTGGAATATTAAGGGCTATCTAATATTTGTTCGAATATATATATATATATATATTTTTTAATATTCAAATTATATTTGAATATCGGATTTTGAAGTCAAAGCCCTAGTGCTCACTGTTAGTGCAGTGGATTTTGGTCATAAAAAGCGTCTGTTGTCAGAGTGTGTGGAGGCGATAACAGATAAGTTATTTGATGGAAAGAAGTTCATCTGCTCCCCTTATCCTCCTCAATGAAAATGTGTTGCTTAAGCTTATGTATTTAGTAATTTTTCAATGGTAAACTAAAAATCCATGTGAAAAACAATGACTTCTTACTGTTCTCAGGACAAATATTTATATGCGATTAAAATGCAATTAATTGCCATTTTTTAATCACAAAGCCTCTAATTAATTTGTTTTTTTTAATCGAGTCCCAGCCCTAATATTCATCGATTGTGTGATGTGTTTCGGTTGTTTTTCTAATTGTATTTGTGTATATACATGTAACAGTAGTGTCTGGGTTTTGTTTTTCTGTCTTCAAACAAAGTCATTATCTTTCACAGTTGCCTTGTTCGAGCCTTTTAATGTGTAGAAATATAGTAGCTATAGCTTACTGATACTTTGTGTTACAGTCGGGATTATCTTGAGAAGAGAGAAGAAGCAAGACAATCCAGAGAGGAGAGGTGAGGTCACAATGTACCAACAAAAACGTAAAAGAAAAAAAAAAAAAAAAAGTAGCAGTGTGTCAAACATAGGTGAGACGGCGAGGTGCTTTGAAACGGTTTTTAGCCCCATTGTGTAATTGAACGCAGATGTAAAATGAGGCGCAGAGGTTACCATGAGGAGTGTTCCGATGGAATTTTGGCTCTTGTAAAGGTGAATTTCTTGTTTTGAAACGTCTTTTAGTGAAACGATTCCTGTATGCTTCTTACAGTAACTCATTAGTAGAAGATGTAGACAAATCATCCATGTGAAAAATAGAACATTCCGGATGCCAGATGTTGCTTCAAGTTTTGTTTTTCCGTTCAGAAGTGAGCGCAGCCACGGCCAATGCCAGAGCATAAAAGGTGACAACAACATTTATGGATCGAACGAGGCAAGAATGTTCTTCAGCAGAGCACATATTTCGAGACCATAAACTAGGCTGGAATTTTTTTAGACGCGGTTCAACATTGTTCAGATGTAAAAAAATATATATATCCTGATTTGGTTTTATAACTTATGTTCACACTAATATCAGGAATGTATGGCAGACCACAGCCCAAACACGTTCTATTACCCTTTTCAATTCAATGTAATCTTGTATAGCCCTAAATCACAACAGTAGTTATCTCAGAGGACTTTACCAACACATATCAGAGAATCAAACAGTTCTAACTCAAGAAATCAATGATAAAAAAAAAACAGAGCCAGATGACCAATGTCCATAAATGTTGTTGAATGTCGAGTGTCCTGGATCATCACCACTTTTCTTTTCTCTGTCTCTGTGTCAAACTCATTTTATTCAGAGACCATTTTTAAGAAGAAGTATTAGCCAGGACTTGCCAGACAGAACTAGAGTATGAAAGTGTTTTTTTGTGTGTGTGGAAATTAGAAGGTATTCTGACACTATGATTGCTTGGATATTATTTTCTTGTGGATTCTTCTGAGCAAAATTGCTTGCTTACTGTTTGAATGATTTGTTTTATGTATTTATCTATATCTGTGTTGGGTTAACATTTTAGAATCAATAGCAAGGGTAGCATAGAACCAATGCAGGAATCTCAACTGTGGCTCGGAAGTTACCAGTAGCTAGCCACCCGCTTTCAGGTAGCTCCGCAAAAGGATTCAAGAATTGAACGCCATGATCCTGAAGGATTCACTTTAGAGTTATATCTATTTTAACAATAAATCTTTTCATGAATGCAGGGATACTTTAGTATAATAGGAATGTGTGCTCTCTATCTCTATCATTAGCCTGTCCGTCCGGAGGAGCGGATCCCTTTCTCAAATGGGTCTCCCTCCCTGTGGGTTTCCCTAGTTCTCCCCAAGGTTTCTCACTTTTTCCCACTGGGTTTTTTAAGAGTTTTTCCTTGTCGATGCAGGAGGGTCTTGTTGGACAGTTAGTGTCCAACAGAAAGGATTGGTGATGATCAGGACACTTTAGCATTCTACAACATGTATGGACATTTTCTTCTGTGTGTGCTTTATATTCTTCATGTGTTTTAACTGTTGATTCTCTGACCTGTGTTGGTGATTTCAATGGTTTTGTTAAGTCCTCTGAGATGACTTCTGTTGTGACCTAGGGCTATACAAGAATAAATTGTATTGTATTGTATGATTGGCTGTTGATATTTTATAGACTACAATTTCATTTCAACTGCTAAAGAAGTAGCTCCCTCCGAATTCTGCTTTATAAAAATCACTCTCCAATCTGAAAAAATTGGAGACGCCTGCTGTATAGTATCAATGCTGCGAGGTTATCACAGTAATTAAAAATCAGTTCAGAGGCCACTAAAAACTGTCTTTGCCACAAAATATTACTGTCTTTCCATTCCGTTCCACTGGGATTGCTAGATAGACCGCTCCTACAAGTTTCCAGTCTAACTGGGTCGTTAAGAACTGACTAACTTTAAGATGAAGAAGAAGCAAGTACACTGCAAAAAGTGAAGAACAATAAGCTATTTGGCAAATCTTGTTTAAAGACAGTCAGAATGTAAGAAAATTAAGACAAAAAAACAAAACACTGGATTCAAGCTAGCCTGGCCTTAGCCATCCTTACACTCCGCTCAATCATCATTTCCCTGCATGTAACGTCTGGGTCTGGTCCCTGTGTTAGCGATTACAATCGGTTGAATTTCAACCGACAAATCAGCGAGCGCGGGAGGTGGGTGTTGTAGTTAGATGTGGGTGACGGGCAGGTTGTAGTTTGGCAATGGCGAAAAATGCGATAGTAAAGTAATCCGGTCTGGTTCTATGAAGAAATTGTCCTGACTTCACTGTGTGTCCATCTCCATCAGGCACAAGGCTGTGGACGGTCCGGCAGCAGAGGAGCGAGAGCGAGAGCCGCCGCGGACGCCGTTCAGAGGCCGCACAGAGATCACCCTGTGTTTGAGTTCCAGACCAGGGGGGCGGGCAGCCACGCAGTGTAGCAGCCCGTCCAGCATCCCACCAGAGGAGACCCCCACCTCTAGGCCCTGCTATAAGACCACCTCCAGGCCCTCCTCCACACCCACTACAGGTCACTCTCACACTGTTGTAGAATAACGTTCACTTCAAAACACTTCAAGATGGTAAAACCATGTACTTTTTAAATAGATACATTTGATAGTTCATTTTATTGATGTTTGAATTAAAGTTTAGCTGCCAAACTCAAGTAATTCATCAATCAATCTAACTCCAATCAAATCTAATTTTAAAAACACCTACAACCCAATTTGACAGCACTAAACGAAACGGAACAGAATTTTGGAAGAAGCAAACAGCTGGGAACAAAAACGACATAAAGAACGATACAAAAGCAGTACAGCAGAACCAACACACGATACAATAGCATATGGTACGACACAAAACAACACACACAAGACACAGCCAAACCCAGCTCCATGCTCTGAGATTTACACTTATTTTAAAGTAGTTGGATATGTCTGTCTGTAATGACGGTGAGCATCTCTATCATGTGAGTTGTGTTCATTAGGTGCAGAGAGTTTCCAGATGCCCTGAACATTATTTTAGTTTTATGTTTTAGTTATTCATGTCACAATATGGCATGTATAACTGCTGAAACAAATTGTGTGTAGCTCCATCCTTGAAAATAAAAGGGATTTCAGCAGGCACAAACCACAAACACGTCCTCCTCTTTTGCCTAAATTCTTCTATATCAAACGTTGTGCATTTTTTTGTTACCACATGATCTTAAATGTACTGTAGCTATAATGTGCAATGGTCGCACATTGACTCATTCATTTAAAAAAGTGAAACCGCCTGTCCACTGTATGATGGTCGAGGCTGAAAATGTTCCCAAATAATGCATAATGTTTCTTCTTTATAACACAAAACAGACGATTTTGTTTCCAATAATTAGTCTGTTTTTGTAAAAGCTGCCAAAAGGACATAATCAATTAAAGTAAACATGAGTGATTGCTTCAAATGATTTCCTTGTTTTTCATTCCATCAGTCAAACAGGAAGTCATTTAAGGCTGTTTTACTCAAACAATCTGTTTATTCTGGATCAGATCCTGTGCATGTGTTGAAATATTACTGCACAAAGACTTTTCCTGTGAACTTTGTTTTGATTTCTGCTGCAGACACAGAGCACCCGTCTGGACCCAGTCTGGAGCTGCAGACCAGAAGGACCAGTCCAGAGTCCAGACTCACAAAGAGCTCCCCCTCAGCTCAGGACATCCACACAAGGCCCAGAGAAAGAACTGAACAATGTGAGACAAACTGTGACCAGGGCCCGACCAAAGAGGCCTCGTACAGTGAAGAAACCAGTGAGCAGAGGAAGCCAGAGGCGACTCAGGGTATGAAGGTACTGCAGGGCCGAGGGCAAGTCAGGGAGGAGCTGGAGGGCCGAGGGCAGGTCAGGGAGGAGCTGGAGGGCCGAGGGCAGGTCAGGGAGGAGCTGGAGGGCCGAAGGCAGGTCAGGGAGGTGGTGGAGAGCCGATCACAGGTGAAGGAGGAGCATGTGGAGGCACATGTGGATACTGACATGGACCAGTGTGAGGTAGAGCAGCAGGTGGAAGAGGAAGACAGTGTGTTGCTGCTAAGTGAGAAGGAGCGACAGAACGAGGAAGTCAACGAAAAGGACAACTGTTCAGCCTCCAGCATCTCGTCCACCAGCAGCACCCTGGAGAGAGAGGAGCGCGAGGACAGGCTGAGCCAGGACATCGAATCAGGTAGGTCACACCAGACTGCGTTTGCTCTACTCTTTGAACGCTTTAACACATCCTCTTCTCGTTGTTCCAGGTCAGCTGATTCAGTGCAATGAAGATGTTCAAGATGTGAATGGAAACTGTGACAAAATCCTCAGCAACAAACTCTTCATGCTGGACATGCTTTACGCCCAAACAGCTGACAACAACAACAAGGAAACCACAGAGACAATTGAGACAATTGAGAAAGAGAGCAGTAAGTGTGAGAAGGACACACGGACAAGCCCTGCCTCTGTGGGCAGCCTGCTCAGCCGCATCTCCACTCTGGAGGCGCAGAGACTGGGTAGGACTGAGGGAAGGACTGAGGGAAGGACTGAGGAGGTGCTGAGGAAAGCTGATGTGGGCCACTGGGACAACCACAGCTCTGTGCGCGCTGTAGCAGAGAAGTTTGGAGATCTGGTCAAAGGACTGGGAGGTCCCACTGAGGTGGAGGGTCTGAAAGAACAACAGCAAACTCAGGAGAAAGTGACCACTGCACCAGCAGCGCTGCCCCCAAAGAAAGAGTCAGACCAGATCTGGGACCAGCTGCTGGCTGCGCCCCGAGAGCTGCGCATCAAAGAGATGGACTTCACTGATCTCCGGGACGAGGACGACATGGACATCTTAGACATGGACAATCTGATGAGGTCAGGTGACCCCACACCAACACCCCCTCCCCCTCCCCCGTTCGGCTGCCCCCCTCCTCCACCCCTCTTTGGTCACATGCCTCCCCCACCTCCCTTCATCCCGCCCCCCTCCCCTCAGCTCTGTCGAGGGAGCACCCCCGTCTTCCAGAAGAAGAAGAAAACCATCCGTCTGTTCTGGAACGAGGTGCGACCTGTGGACTGGCAGAGCAAGAACCACAAGTTCTGTAAGGACTCACTCTGGTCCAAACTAGAGCCCGTCAAACTGGACACGTCCAAACTGGAGCAGCTATTTGAGTCAAAGTCTAAGGAACTGCCGGTCACTAAAGTAAGCTCCCATCAACATCCCCTTCATCATTAGTCATGCCACTTAGATCCTTTTTTAAAACATGTAACCCAGTCTTTCTCTTCAGATATATGACATAATAAAATGTGGTTTTGTTTACTTAGAAAGCGACAGTTGATGGAAAACGGCAAGAAATCATTGTTCTGGACTCCAAACGAAGCAACGCTATAAACATCGGATTGACAGTTTTACCTCCGCCTCGCACGATCAAAACAGCTATCCTCAACTTCGACGAATACGCTCTCAACAAAGAAGGCATCGAGGTACTTCTCGGAATTCTGTCGAAATATATTTGATCCCACACTAAAAATACCACATCACATAACACTTTCAGACTGGTCTCGTCTGGACAGAATCATAGAAAATCTGTCATGTTTTTTTTTTACGCTGGTTGTCCGCCGAATTGAATGCAAATAATGAGAAACAGTTGGAATCTCCACGACGACAGCATCTCCGCACAGTAGTGATTCATGTTGCTCTTATATAACATGTGAGGCCTTTTCACCAATCTTCTGAAATCTCCTCTGAGGTGAGGAGTTCACCTGTCAGAGCGCTTCACGAGAAGCAACATTTGAGATAAACACATCTGGAAGCGTCTATCCTTCCACGTATTACGTAAAATACATTCTTGACATTTAGAATTGAGCAGCGTTGGAAGAAGACGTCTATATTACACGCAAGAGTAGAAATGCAACAAATAATGCTTCATGTTGGATTTGTCTCTTATCGTTTAAAAAAATATATATTTGGGTTGTTGGAATGAATATTCTATGGCCCAAGTATTATTAATTACAAACGCAATGGACAGCAGGCCACATTTTTTATTTCATATTTTAGTTCTCAAGCTCATTACCCAATCAGAAAGCAGAATTAGCATCACATGAGTCTCTCCTTTACATATGTAGCTTTCGATATATGGCCTTGCTGCAGCCCGAATCCTGTCAAAACTGTTTTTACAATGCATGTTGTCAACCCCTAAACAAGTCAACTAACTACTAAAGTGGCCATCTTTGTTTGGCTTTGGTTTAGGTCTTATTTTCAGTCAGGTTATCAAAACAGCAAGAGCAAAAACTAAATACTATTACTATTAATTGTAGTACTAATTCTATCTAGTATTCTAGTATCACTGTAAACATATAGTTTCAAACTAAAATGTAGATGGTTTTTAGAATTAGGTAAACAACAAAAAGTTCCGCGCATTTAAAAGGGTCATGAAGAAGAAAGTACAGATTACTGCTCTGAAAAGTAGCAGTGAAAGTATAAGGAATCCACTGTATGCTGCTTGAAGGTTTTCAACTTTCATCACCCCAGAGAGACCCTCGTATTTAATTTAAATACAACAATGTCCTGTCTTATCTGATTACAAAACCAGAAAGAATTTTATCTTTTGCAACCTGTGGCAAACAAGCCCTTGAGTAAGGGTGGTTATTCCTGCCTCACTGTCCTACAATCTCATCTGAAGAAGCTGAGCTAGAAACGAAATTGTGATAGTACCGAACTAATTTAATGATAGCCTGTTCCATTTTTTGTTTTTGTTTCACTTACTTTTGCTCATTGTTGTATTCCACTACCAGCAGGATGGACGGAGCACTCCCAATCTTTCAATTCAATTCAATTTATTTTTTGTTCAGCCTTAATACACAACAGACTGCTGGATTCGCCAAATTCTGGATTTGCCAACTATAGATTTGCAAATCGACCGACTTGAACCTAAGGAAATGAAATAATATAAAACACTAAGAGGTGACCAATCCCTGCGCCCTGGATCGTCATTGTCCTTGAGCTGGAGTCTCCAACCTTTTTCCTGGGAGAGCTACTTTTTTGGGACAAAAGTGGCAGAGAGCTACTCCTTTTAGAAAGTTGACATAATAGTGTGCTCCAGTGGATAAAAAAAAAAAACTTAAAACAATGGATCAAGTAGCTTTAGTCTTAATTCATGCATTCTTGTTCCCTTGGCAAAGTTTAAGACTGTTTTAAGACCGTCAAAATGTTTTCTAATTTAAACTTTTTTGGGGGCATTTTTCCATCTAAATGTATTGGTGCAAAAAGTGGCAATTTTTATATTTACCCATAAAATTATCCTTTGGGGAGTTACTTTGAAGAGAGTGGGTCTCCAACCTATATAAATATATATAATAAACACCAAACCCTAATGTCTGTGTGATTTGTTGTAGAAAATCCTGACCATGATCCCCACGGAGGAAGAGAAGCAGCGGATCCAGGAGGCGCAGCTGATGAGTCCGGACGTCCCCCTGGGCAGCGCCGAGCAGTTCCTCCTCACGCTCTCCTCCATCACAGAGCTGAGCGCCCGCCTGCAGCTCTGGGCCTTCAAGATGGACTACGAGCTGATGGAGAAGGTCTCACACACAATCAGCTAGCAACTAGCATGCTAACGGCAATTCTACATTACATTCTTACTTTATTTTTGTACTGGCAAAAACAGTGTGAAAATAACCCAATGACAACTTCTGATATACCGTATGTCTGAACACTAGCACTCCCAGAACAGTCAAATGTATGGCTCTTAGTTGTAGAAGAGTAATTACTAGGGCCGGGACTCAATAAAAAAAAAAATCATCTAATTAATTAGAGGCTTTGTAATTAATTAATCGCAATTAATCGCATATAAATGAGAACTGAGGAGTAATTTTTTTCACTTGGATTTTTTTGTTTACCATGCATTGTAATGGCTGCTCCTCTTCCGCCTTCTGAACGCTCCTCCATGGCTCCACACTCAGCGCTCATTCCCGTCTCTCACTGGGATTTCACTAAAGTTGGTCTATGCTTGTAATAATGTACTTTTGAAAAAAAAAAAGTCCGGAGCCATGCACGGAGCTCGGGTTAGTGCATCAGTATAATCGGTCCGTCTGAAACTCATCCAGTGAGGAAGGTTCCGCGGCGCAAAAACACATATGCAATTAAAATGCGTCAATTTTTTTAACCCGCTATTTTTTGTGCCGTTAATTAATCTTAATTAACGCGTTTAAGTCCCGGCCCTAGTAATTACTTTATGTACCTTTTTGGTCTTCATAACTTTGACTTTGTCTGTATCTCCATTTGTTTGTAGTATTTTTTTTCTGTCATTATCTTTAAGAAATTATTTTTTTATTATTTAAACATGAGTAGTTCTATCTTTGAAAAGCGAGTGTTGGTAGGGACACACCGTTTATCGTCAGCAGTTAGCCTTTGGTCTCTTCGTCTGTAAAATTGAAGTAAAGGGAAAAAAGCATATTGCTTTGATGAATCTGGTAAAAAACTTAACATTTTTGGGGGGAATTTCCATTCCATTTCCATGAAAGGGAACAGTCAAAATGACGGCTGTGGGAGTTCTAGTAGTATCATAATTGTGGGAGTCCAAATGTTAAGGCTGCGGTACCTGACTTTTTATTTACTTATATAATAGAATTGGTTTGTCTCTTTTGATGTCTTCATCACACTTATCATTATAAAACATGTGATCTTTTGCATACTTCTATAAAGAATCTTGTGAGACACTCTTTGATACTTTGGGTCGAGAGATCAGTATGGTCTGATTTAAATTTGACAGTGGCCAAATATATATGCAAATTGATAGCACCGAACTGTTTTGCTGCCAGGAACGAGTTACTGTGAGTGGATTTTGTTACATAGTTCGAAAGTTAGGTACCCCAGCTTTAAAGGAAATTAAAAAGGCAAGATCAGCAAAGCATTGAAGTTGGTGATTATCTTGTTGTAATGAAATCAATTTCATGGCTATTTTGATGATTCCTTGAACTTACCAAGACAAACAAATTTGCTGATGTCGAGAGTAAACACTGAATTGATGCATAAACCAAAACTCATGTGGGATTTGAACCCTCAACCTTTGAATGACATTGTAAAGACTGCCTAGAAGTCCAATGTGCGACAGAGCATGTGGCACCGGCAAATTGTTAAAGCTGTGTGACATGTTTGTCTAATGTCTAATGATAATGTCCAATGATAATGTCCATTTGTGTCCATTTGTAGGAAGCTGCGGAGCCTCTTCAGGATCTGAAAGAGGGAATGGACCAGTTAGAGAAGAACAAGACGCTTCGCTACATTCTCACCACGCTGCTCGCCATCGGAAACTTCCTGAACGGCACAAATGTGAGTCTCTCTGTTAGATTAAGTGAAGTTATACTTTTTTATCGCTGTGGAGAAATTGTTTTCATTTGATTTGACCCATCCTGAAGCCCACTAGGACCTTAGTCAGGAGCAGTGGTCCTGACTAAGGTCAGTGCATTCTGGGAAATCAAAGCACCTTGGAGGAAACCTACGCAGACCCAGGAAGAACATATTCCTATCAGAAAGGCCCATATCCCCTCGGAGATTTTACCTTCTTGCTGAAAAGCCAGAGTGCTAATCATTCAGCCACGGTGCTGTGGATGGTCCACTTTATGTACTGTACAAAATAAATATGCAATCAGAATCAGAATCCTTTTTATTGTCATGTGAATTTGTTTAAACAAGACATTCAGGGTTTTTTCAATGCTATGTCATTTCACCTGAGAAAATGCCAAGATTAATTCATGGCCATTACTTTTATTTAAAAAGGCTTAAGGTAGAAGTGTGATGTCAGGGACGGGAGATTTTAGACAGTTGTGCAAAAAATAACTCTTTATTAGGAAGGATCCAAAAGGTGGATTTAAACATAAAACTTCAGATAGAACATGTGAAAATGATACCATTATTGAAAATGGCTGGGACATTATTGTTAAAGCTGTTTTAATGCAGTGATAAAGGCTTAAAATATGAGCGTCAATATTACCGAAGTAACAAAAATAATTTATGAGAGCAAAGATCTATTTCAAATATGTCCCGACTGTGGGACGAAAACAGGATCTCTTAATCGTAATCTTAACATATGTAATACGTATTGCAAACATCTGAGAGCAGAGCAGATATATGTACTTGTGCTTGAGTTGGACTGAAATCTTTTACAGCTTGAGATTTATTTAATTATTTCTCATTCTGGTCCACATTCCTCCCACCTCTGCCCTCATCTGTGCCAAAATGTTCTGTTGGCATCAGTGCAGAAGAATATAGGCGACCTCACTATGTCTCAGTACATTTTGTGGTTTCTCTGCGCACACTCTTGTTAGTTTGTCCTGCACCATACATCAAACTGAAATGAAAACTACTCATGTTACTTACATACACAAAACACATTTTTAATACTAACCATTTGTTCCAATGATAAACATGGAAAATCAAGGGTTAAAATATATGGCACTTAATTAGTCTTGTTTAACTGCGTTTAACCAGACATACAAATATTCTTTGAAAAAATGTACTTGTGCTATTTTTGTAAAGCAACATTCAATGAGCAAATTTGACAATGTGACATATTGGCTTCTTCTTGCGTTCTTGGGCACATACTGTCCGTTAGTTAATGCATTAAGCCATACTTCTTTTGCGACACAGCAAAAAATGATGAAAAATAAGTCAAAAATCGAATGTTCGAATTTGGTTAAATGTATCTTAATTTGAGCCCATCTTGGCTGCCTTAAAACAAGATTTGTCATTGGGACAAGCCAAATTATACAGTTTTGAAGATGTTTTAGATACAAGAATTGTCTCCCTTGTAATGAGAAAATAAGACTAAATGGCTTTTTCCATTAGTAAACCTTGTGTAAAGAATCAGAATATACCACTCGATTCAAGCAAATATTACCTCATATTTTATAATAGTTTGCAGTGCAACTGTGGTTAAATCATATATTTTCCACTTGCTTGAGAAATGATTTCACATTCTAACATAAATAAAATGCCAAAGAGCATATTCCCTAGATCAGGTGGAAGTGCTGAAATGAATGCATGATAGTTGTTCTTTAAGATGTAAAACACGCACAGGAAAGCATAGTTCTCCATCATCAAAGCAGCTACTTCCCTTCAGCCCTGTTTGTGTTCTGTTTCATGGTAACCATCAAACACTGGCACAGGCCCAGGGAGATTTAGTGTGGATTATATTTGTTGTGGTTTGTAGGCGCACAGTGGTAAGCGGAACAATCAGTGCATCGGCTTTGAGACGAGATGTGGTTTTGATAATCGCAGCTTAATAAATCCAAGATATCCACTCCGAACTGCGAGGGAAAGTACCACAATGACTAAAATATAGGCATTAGCAGCTTCCTCTGACTCATTCTGTGCACTTGTGCTTGTGTAGGCAAAAGGCTTTGAGTTAAATTACCTGGAGAAAGTCCCGGAGGTGAAGGACACGGTTCACAAACAGTCCCTGCTGCACCACGCCTGTGCCATCGTTGTGGAGAAGTTTCCCGAGAGCAGCGACCTCTACTCGGAGATTGGAGCCATCACCAGACTCACCAAGGTAACCGAATGCTTGTATTTGGTCTGACTGTGTGCGTGTGTATGACAAAATCAATGTTTTTATGCATAGCCCTAAATCACAACAGCCGTTGTCTCATAGGACTTTACAAAGTTGTCGAATAGCCAACAACTGATCAAACAGTTGAAACGCAGGGAATGCAATAATATTGTAGCAAACACATGGGAGCCATTGGTCCATAGGGAACGCGATCACCTATGTTAATAAACGTCCCAAATCGTCACTGTTATTAGACCCTCCTGCATTGACAAGGAATGACTCAAAAAAACAGTGGGAAAAAATGTGGGAGACCTCGGGGAGGCCCACATTGAGAGAGGGATGTGCTCCCACACACAGACAGGCTACACAGTAGATCCAGGACTGAGGCGGTAGAATCAGGATTGAGGCTGTGCAGCACAGGAATGAAGAGGATTCCAGACAAGGAGGAGGGTGTAGTGCCAAGTTGGCTAAGCCACACCGCGAACATAAGTAATAACAAGTAATACATGCTTAAATCAAGTGATTTTTATCTTGATTTGAGCTAATTTTGTCTGTCTGCCAATTGGACAAGTCTTATTTAGTCTCATTTCAAGAACTGTTGCTTTTTCTTCTCATTCCAAGGGAGACATTTCTTGTATCTTTTTAAAACGAGAACATTTTCCTTGTCCCATTGGCAAGTGTGTTGAGGTAGTCAAAATGTGCTCAAATTAAGGTTTTGCTAAATTTGAGCAATTCTTGGCTTGTTTTTCATTGCAGCGTGTGTGCGTAGCCTGCTCTTACAATTTGAACGTGCAACGTTTTCTTTTTTCAGATATCTTTTGCCCAGAATGACTCTGTGTTTTCTTTCAATCTCTGCCCAGTTGGCGTCCCCTTCCATTCCTCCTGTTCATGTCATACATGTACATGTTCTCTCAAAGACTGCTCCGTGCTTAAGAGCGGAGATAATCACTACTCAACATGGATCTGCAGTTACATTTATAGTGTAAAAGAGACGTTATTTTGACCTGCTCTCTCCACAGGTGGACTTTGATCAGCTTCAAGACAATCTGGCTCAAATGGAGAGACGCTGCAAAGCCTCATGGGATCATCTGAAGGTCATATCGAAACATGAGATGAAAGCAGCGCTCAAGCAAAAGATGTCCGACTTCCTGAAGGACTGCGCAGAGAAAATCATCATTCTGAAGGTTGTGCATCGGCGGATAATCAATAGGTACGGCTGTTTTGTATAATATCACGAGCTGAGGGTGTGGTTTGGATTAAAGGGGACATTACCATATTGTTCCCTCTTTAAAAACTTTGCTTTGACACATATTGTGGCTATTACATTATAAGCCATTTTATATCTTTTATAACGCTCCCGACTTTCAATTACAGCGTGGCGATGTTGACAAAATAGCAGGTTGTGATTTCTCACTTCTACCACAAGATGGAGGTGTTCCATCACAAAGACTCTTTCTGAATCCATTAGACATGTTTATCCGTATTTTCTACTTCTACATTATTTTCAAACCTCATGAAATAGAAATTAAGTAATAAAGTCCATCTGGAAGTTCCTTGCTCTCAAAACAGTTTAGTTCTATGATAAGATAAGATAAACCTTTATAAGTCTCACAGTGGAGAAATTTCAGTGTCATCGTTGCACATTACAGCAGAGAAAGGAAATAAGAGCACTCAAATTGCACACATCAAAGTCTATTATTTAAGATAATAGACAATAAATTTAATCAGTAGTACTGATAACAGTAAATATCAGATATGTAAAAGCAAAGGAAGGTTTCTCACCCATCATCTGTACTTCTTAGCAAGTTTTCCCGACGTTTCGTCCTCAACCTGGGGACTTCTTCAGGGAATGAATTCTCGGACCGCGCGTTGGAGATTTATAACCTATGGGTGTGGTAAGCCACACCCTAATCCTGATACTAACTCGTAAACAATCTCAGGTCTGCTTGATGTAGAAGGGAGCAGGTCTAACGACCCTGCTGAGGCTAACGACCCTAACTCCTTAGCATGTCACAGACCTATTGTCTGCTGGGATGCTCAAGTGGAGTGCAGGTTTCACCCCTCCTAACTCATTAGCATGTCACTGACCTTGTCCCAAGTTAGGGCGTTGTTTTTAGGATGTCGTCATAGATGCGAGGCAAAACAAATCTTAACCCTCCTCCTCTGTTAAGAGAAGGTTTTTGTTTCCTCACAAAAATGGCTTCTTTCACTCCTCTCTCAAACCAATTCTTCTCCCGAGCCAGAATTTTAACCTCTGTGTCATCCACCGTGTGGTTGGAGGCCTTCAGGTGGAGATGAACAGCCGACTGTGGCCCACTAGAGTTTTCTCTACGATGTTGGTAAAGTCGTTTCTGTAGAGTTTGTTTGGTTTCTCCAATATAGTGGTCAGTGCACTCCTCTTCACTACATTTAATTGAATACACCACATTGCTCTGTTTGTGTCTGGGTGTTTTGTCTTTGGGATGCACTAATTTCTGTCTTAACGTGTTGAAATTAGTGCATCCCAAAGACAAAACACCCAGACACAAACAGAGCAATGTGGTGTATTCAATTAAATGTAGTGAAGAGGAGTGCACTGACCACTATATTGGAGAAACCAAACAAACTCTACAGAAACGACTTTACCAACATCGTAGAGAAAACTCTAGTGGGCCACAGTCGGCTGTTCATCTCCACCTCAAGGCCTCCAACCACACGGTGGATGACACAGAGGTTAAAATTCTGGCTCGGGAGAAGAATTGGTTTGAGAGAGGAGTGAAAGAAGCCATTTTTGTGAGGAAACAAAAACCTTCTCTTAACAGAGGCGGAGGGTTAAGATTTGTTTTGCCTCGCATCTATGACGACATCCTAAAAACAACGCCCTAACTTGGGACAAGGTCAGTGACATGCTAATGAGTTAGGAGGGGTGAAACCTGCACTCCACTTGAGCATCCCAGCAGACAATAGGTCTGTGACATGCTAAGGAGTTAGGGTCGTTAGCCTCAGCAGGGTCGTTAGACCTGCTCCCTTCTACATCAAGCAGACCCATAGGTTATAAATCTCCAACGCGCGGTCCGAGAATTCATTCCCTGAAGAAGTCCCCAGGTTGAGGACGAAACGTCGGGAAAACTTGCTAAGAAGTACAGATGATGGGTGAGAAACCTTCCTTTGCTTTGACTAATCCCTGTACGACTGAGGGCTTACACAAACTTATCAGATATGTAGTACTGTAGTAGTACTGATAACAGGTAAAGTGACTAGTGACAAAGTTACTAGTGAATTATCAGAAACACTTGTGCAGACTCAGCAGTTCCTGTTACACATTCTCGTTGTACAGTCTGACAGCAGCAGGAAGGAAAGACCTGCGAAACCTCTCCTTCACACATCGAGGGTGAATTAGTCTGTCACTGAAGCTGCTCTCCAGAGCAGAGAGAGTGTCCTGCAGGGGGTGACAGTCATGGCCCAGCATAGATGTTAGTTTGCTCAGGACCCTCCTGTCCCCCACCTGCTGCACTGTGTCCAAGGAACAGCCCAGGACTGAGCTGGACTTCCTGATGACCTTGTCCAGCTTCTTCCTGTCCCTCTCTGTGATGCTGCTGTTCCAGCAGACCACACTGTAAAAGATGGCTGATGTCACCACAGAGTCATAGAAGGTCTTCAGGAGTGGCCCCTGCACTCCAAAAGACCTGAGCCTCCTCAGCAGGTAGAGGCGGCTCTGGCCCTTCTTGAAGAGGGCGTCTGTGTTATGAGTCCAGTCCAGTTAGTGGTTCAGATGAACACCCAGGTACTTGTAAGAGTCCACTCTCTCAATTCCCTTTCCCTGGATGTTCACTGGGGCTGGAGCGGCAGAGTGACGTCTACGGAAATCCACCACCATCTCCTTGGTCTTCCCCGCGTTGATTAGGAGGTGGTTCCACTGACACCAGTCCACAAAGTCCAGTATAACTCCTCTGTACTCTGCGTCATCGTCCTCGGAGCTGAGTCCGATGATGGCAAAGTCGTCAGAGAACTTCTCTAGAACACAACCGTCCATGTTGTGTCTGAAGTCCGCAGTGTAGAGGGTGATGAGGAACGGTGCGAGGACTGTCCCCTGGGGGGCCCCCACACTGCAGGTCAGGACCTCAGACACGTAGTCCCTGGTTCTCACAAACTGGGGTCTGTCTGTGAGGTAGTCCAGGATCCACTCAGTCAGGTCGTAGTCCACTCCAGCTGTCTCCAGCTTGTCCCTGAGAAGCCTCGGCTGGATGGTGTTGAAGGCGCTGGAGAAGTCGAAGAACATAATCCTCACAGCGGTGCCGGGTTTCTCAAGGTGGGACAGCGAGCGATGGAGGAGGGAGATGATGGCGTCCTCTACTCCGATGCCCGGCCTGTAGGCGAACTGCAGCGGGTCCATCGCTGGGCTCAGAGTGGTGCGGAGATGTCCCAGGACCAGTCTCTCCAGTGTCTTCATGCAGTGGGATGTTAGAGCCACTGGCCTGAAATCGCTGGGGTCTTTGGCCCGTGGTTTCTTGGGCACTGGTACCTACCAGAAATACTATGTATTTCTTACGTTCAGGTTTTTCAGACAGAAATGTGAAAAAGAGAAGACCACCCTCACTCAACCAATCATCTCTCTGCCCAAAGTGTCAAATAGTGACTCACAAAGCTATTACTTACAAGAACGCAGAAGACCACATGTTTTCTAAAGTTAATGCATTTCTTACATAGTGCTTTTCATGACATTTAACATGACATTAACTCCCTCCAAACATGATGGTAGTTACTGTAGCCACAGCTGCCCAGACTGACAGAAGGGAGGAACTGGTCTGTGCCACTGGCCTGACCACCACCAATCATTCACTCACAGACACACACACATTAGATAAAAACTGCTCGTTCAAGATAAGATGAGATAAACCTTTACTCGTCCCACAGTGGGAAAATTTCAGAATAAATGGAAGAAATAAGAGCACTCAGGTTGCACACATCAAACAGGATCTATTAAAATAATAGATCATAAAATAAAACTATAAGATACTAATATAAAACTCTGAATGTAGGTTCAACATGGGTTCCCCCATCATAGTACTAACCATTCCCTTCTCTGCTTAGCTTCTGAGATTGGGATTAGGTTTATACATGCAGGTGGTGCCACAAGATAAGTTTAAGTTTCATTTGTCCCACAGTGGAGATATTTCAGTGTTGCATCACAGGTTAAAGAGCAGTAGGAATGAGGAGCACTTGCATAAAGACAAAGCATAAGGACTAACATGATTACAAATAATGCTTGATTTCTCCCCAGGTTCCACGCCTTCCTGCTTTTTTTGGGACATCCGGTGTACGCCGTGCGGGAGGTCAGCATCCACCGCTTTAGTAAGATCCTGAGTGAGTTTGCCCTGGAGTACCGCACCACCAGAGAGCGAGTGCTGCAGCAGAAGCAGAAACGAGCCAATCACAGGGAGAGGAACAAGACCCGTGGCAAAATGATCACCGACGTGAGTGCAGACCATACACTGTATATAGTTGGACAATGCTAACCGCTAGCTCAATGAAGCCCAATGGGCAAGTGCTCATTGATGAAGTTTGGCTTCAACATTTTTCCATATTGTCTTTGTCAGACCAGGTACAAGCCAAATGGATTGACCAACCAGATACCTTAATTCACAGGAGAAACTCCAGCTTTCCTTAGCATCCACCTCAGCAAAATGTCTGCCCGTTACGGCATAAACTTTACGCTGTAAAGCTAACACCATCAGAACAAATGCCCATGTAAGGTCATTGGGTGCAGCTAGCTTATGTTCAAATCGTCTTCAGTCCACTGCTAAAAAAACATTCTATGGTGCTCCTCCTCCGCAGTCTTAAATAAGTTTACAGCTTAAAATAAGAACTTTTGTCTGCTGTACTTTAATGAAAAAGTAATTATTTGAAGTGGACATAACCCTTTATAATATGATAATCTATCTATTACTTATGTGGTTCATATGAAATGTTATGTTGGAGTTGTGGAGCTTCTCCTAAATTCCCTGTAGTTATAATATAAGTTAATAACTCAATAACTACAGTATATTTTGGTCAAAATCAAAAGTGTGATGTCCCGAACAAACAAACTATATATACAGTATGGCTGAAAATCATGTTGCCTCCTTGAATGATTGGCCAGTCCATTCGTGCCATTTGTTTAGCTGTCCAGTTTTGTGAATCTCTGGTGGTCATGCCGAGAGGCGGGACTACAAAACATAGTATAAGAAAAATACAAATACATTATACAAACATTATAGTACAAGGCCAGGTGGTCTCAAATATACATTCTTGATTTCTTGCCTGGTGCTATATGTTTTCAAAAGTCCTGTAGGTTTTATAAATGGGTATTTTTAAAAGGCCCATGTCTTTTGTTTTTTGAAGATTTTACATACATTCCAAATGACATCAGCTTCTCCTATATTCACATATTGGTGTAGGTTACCGTAGTAACAAACAGCAGTTGTTTTGAGTCTGTCCGATCTGCCAGAGAAAACACTCTTACGCCTGAGTGCAATCCCCTAAACTCCAACCACACTGGACCTTGCAGCGTCCCGGAGGGGCCCCTTCCTCTTCAAAGGGACACTAACTCAATCACTGTGTGAAAGTCAAACCTCTGGATGTGAGTAGGAGACCTGCAGCCACTGCTGACCGCTCACACATGTGCTCAGACTTTTGTTCTGACCGCTGCACTACACTATGGCCATGAAATCTGAGCTTCTAAGACTGGAACTTAGGGATGGAACTAATCATTGTTCTGATTATTCCTTACATTAATCGAATAGTTGTTTTTAACGCAGACATGTGATTTTAGCATAATTTGACTGTAGAGAAGCTGGAGGGCATTTATATGGGGCGGTATGGCAGCAGAGTGGTTAGTACTCTCACTTCTCAGTATGAAGACTGGTATCCCGGTCAGCACAAGCAAAAACTACTTTACCATTCCATTTAGAAATATATTTCTTTCTTGTTTTAATTTGTGAAGATTATTGCTCTAATTGAGTATTAAAATCATCTTTAAGCTCAAACGTATGCTGGAGTTTGGATATAGAGCAGTTAATAATGATCAAGTTAATAAAAGATTATGAAAAATGAATTTTGGATTTGAGTGTTGAGAGAACATTTTCAACATGCCCACGAGCTCAGGCCTGGGGAGTATTGATCACCAACATGTGACCCTCTGCTACATGTATCTAAATAAGTGAATGTATGGGCGTGTATCCCAGTGATCTGAGCTCACCTTTTTCCTTCTGTAGAGTGAGGAGGAGGAAGACGCTCAGGTACGACGCACACGAGCAAACGCATGGAAGCCCTGTGTCCTCTAACACAAAGGCCTTTGTTTAAAGTGACACATGTTTGTGTTACATTGTGTTGCATTGTGTGAATGAGGAGGTTGCTGGTTTAACCCCGGGGCAGAGTCTTGGGCATGGTGTCTGCGTGTGACTTGAAGAGATATTGGAGATATATGAATGCTTCCTCCTTTGAAAACTGTTTTTGTGTGCAACATTGTAACAGAGTGACCAGATTGTTGAAATTAAAAGTGGGAGACACCAGCATGAATGAAATAGTGAAAAACAAGAGTATTAGGTACATTTTTTTTTTTATTCTATGTGTTATAATTATTTTTCTTTTTTTTCTTTGAGTTTTAAATATACAATAAGCTTGTAACATCACTAATCACACATATTAATTGTTTAAAGAATGAATAAACTAAATAAAAAACAATGAAACATGAGAAAAATCTTTGAACTGATTCCATCCCAGCCCAAAAGATATACATTTGTCAATCAAATAAAAATCAGTAAAAGGTCGCCATGTATGTTAGCTTTTTCAGTTGTAAATGCTTCAAAGCGCATCATCGCAATTTGAGGTTTTGATAAATCAACCAGCTTCAGTCCAAGTAGAGCAACTAATGGGTCCAGTCTTTCTCAAATATTTTCACAATACACTTCAGCCATACTGTAAAAAGAACATACAACTTAGAAAAAGAGGTTCCAATGACAGTAGTCCAAAACAAAAGCAATGTCAAAGGGAACAACAGCCAAATGATTTATTGTTTACAAAAGTGGAATAAAATTAAATCTCTATCTCTATCTTTATCTTGATCAAGAAACAAAGTGTAAGAAGGTATACCCCTGAATATGTTTGTTTATATCTATAGATACATAAAACACTCTCACAGTGATGAACCTACTGCACATGTTCTTTGGTGATAAATCTTGTTATAATAAAAAAGCAAGACAGTTTTACTTTAAATATAAACATTTAAAAACAGACAATAAAAATAAAGCCAAATTTCAAGTGTACTAGAAAACCATCAATGTCTTTTCTCCCCGTTCTTGACCACTCTCAATTCAATTCAGTCTATTTTCGTTTAGTCCTAAATCACAACAGTATTTATCTGGGAAGGTGTCTGGTCACCCTAATGTATCATGTTGAACTCTGTAGTGATGAAAAAAGTCGATGTAAAAACCCACTGAAACCACAGTGTGCTGTTGTGTCCTCTGCAGAGTGGGAAGTTCGGCAGCTCCGCAGACCCCCAGGAACCCCGAGGCCTGGACTCTGCAGAGGTCACCGCGGAACACGAGAGCATGAAGGCCGTGCTGAGGACCGGGGCTCAGACCGGGGCTCAGATCGGGGACAGCAGCACTCTGCCTGGGCTCCGCACACGCACCAGGCCCCCAGCCACTAGAGGTCAGAGCATCCTTCACTCAACTAGAGACATGTTTGTAGCTCTCAGGACGTCCAATTCAATTCAATTTAATTCATTTTTGTATAGCCCTAAATCACAACCGCCTTTTCACTGCAGACCAGAGTCTCAAAGTGGTTTACAATTGTTATTTTTTGGGCATTTGTCCTCTCGCTCCACACAGAGATAGGAGCAGGGGCGCCAGTACAGGTGGCACATGCCAGATATATTGTGCATGTTTTTTGTGGTAGGGGAAACCGGAGGAGTTATCTCAGAGGACTTTACAAAACCGAAAAGCAATGATAAAAACACATGGTCCATAAGGGGCAGATGATAAATGTCCATAATTGTTGATAAATGTGGTTGAATGTCGAGTGTCCTGGATCATCACCACTGTCCTTAGACCCTCCTGCATCGGCAAGGTAAAACTCGAAAAAAAAAAAAACATTAACAATAATAAAACAGTGTGAAAAAGTGAGAAACCTCAGGGAGAACTCTGTCATCATCTATTATTGTACTGGTTGTAGATGATCTCACTGGAAATGGTAACAAGATCAAGCAATCCTCCAATGTTACCAAGCAATCATGAGGCCGAAACACAAAGTACTTTAGGTCATGTACTCAAAAAGTATTCTCTGATCAATACAAACATAAGAATGGCTTGACTTTGTCCCCTATTTTAGGGCTCATGCTAGTTATGCTGTACTCCTGTCCTGTCTACAATTCACAGATGTTCCTTTTTAGCCATACTTGGTTTAACGTGTCTCTCTGTCCACGTGTCTCAGGCCGCGTCCCCTGGCTCAGCTCTGAGGAAGACTCCATGAAGTCTCTGGACGACACTGCGGACGACATCATGGAGAGGATCGTGAGGTCAGCCACACAGGGGCCGAGCCACCGCACCCTGCCCCGAGAGAGGAGGCGCTCCAGGGCCAACCGCAAGTCACGTGGGTCCCGACACACGCACTGCAAACATGTCATGTAGCAGGCTCTAAAAGATCAGATTTATTATTAAAATTATTATTGTTATTTAGATTTAATCATCCCACAGTGGGAACATTTCAGTGTTGCATCACCAGTTACATAACAGAAGGAATAAGGAGCACACGACACAAGATAAGTGAACAATAGCTCTATACTGAAATAAAATAAAATCTCTTATCATTGTGTAAAAATAAGCAAGAATTAAGCATAGAATTTCTGACTTTAGCATAATTAGTTTAGTTTATTCCAAGGCGGTACAATACACAACACAAGAAAAATAGAAATACATTACGATTCTATACAAAATTAACACATCATTACAACGTGTCCACAAATAAGAAATAAAAAAAAAACAATCATAAAGAAGCAATTACAAAATACTGTATATTCTAGAGCAGGGGTCTCCAACCTGTAGCTTCGGGGAGCTTCCAGTAGCTCGCCAGCCCCCTTTCAGGTAGCTCCCCAAAGGACTTAAAATTCAACACATGATCTTGAATGATTCACCTTTGAGTAATATCTATCATAAGTATACATACTGGGTTATACAGGATTATTTTAATTTTCACATCTGTTTTTCATCTTTTGTCATAATTATTGAATAGATATGTATTATGGCCGCAAAAAGGAGTAGCTCTCTGCCTCTTCTGTTGAATGAAAGTAGCTCTCTGATGGAAAAAGGTTGGAGGCCCCTGTTGTAGAGAAGTTCATTTCAATCACATATCGCACAGTAGTTATGTCGGAGGACCGTCGATTCGCCAACAACAGATCAGAGAATCAAACAGTACAAACACATGAAATGCAATGTAAACAAACAAAAAAACACATAGGTCCATAGGGAGCAGATGACCAATGTGCATATTCATTGTCGAAGTCCCTGATTGTGTGTTGCCCCCTGCAGTGAGGAGGACGTTGAGAGACGGCCTGTCCACAGAGGAGGCCAACGCTCTGGGCTTGTCGAGCTCGGAGCTGCAGGTGTGAGCTGGACCTCGCATTGCCCCAGACGGACCCATGTTTACCCCCCCGGCCCTCTACGTCCCGGGACACAGCGCAGATGTATAAAGACTTTGATCTGATGGCCGTCGAAATCAAAGCTGCCTTCAAACGCACTAAGCTGAAGAAAACCCAATGTCACAATCATTTGGAAAGAAAGAGTGGGAAGAGAGAGATGCATAAAGCAATAGAGAAGCTGGAGACAGAATGGACTGTTGTAGGTTTTGTTGGTTTTGTCTGTTATCGACGCATTCTGAACTTTCTGTTTTTCTTTCTTTTTTTTACTACTGTAGGAGTTTTGTTGCTGGAAAAAAAATGTGCTCGGAAAGTAAACGTGCACTGGATTTAACAATGGGGGATTGTGGAAGGCTCAATCAATGATTCATTCACATAAACGACAACTCGAGCAAGCTGTTGGGACTGTGTCGATAAAGTTACAGATTGTCAAAGCTATTATTGTTATTGCTATGTTATTCAGCAAAAACATTCAAACACGTTCAGAAAGAGACTTTAATTTATTTTGAGAGAATGTGTCTAAAGCATCTGTCTCTGTAATGCAGGGGTGTCCAAACTTATCCTGATTTTCTAATCTCCTACTGTCACAGGGAAAACTCATTTATTTCTGTAATTCAACTGTGAGACAAAAAACAGTAACCCAGTCTATGAAAAATAACATGAAAATGTTTGTATTAACCACATTTTTTTGTACCTATGGTAGGTTTTTTTAATATTATTTATGGGTGAAAATGTGTTTCTCTCACATTTTTACCCATAATGCATATGTGCTTATAAACATTATGAACACACAAAATGAAAAGAAAATGTATAACGTTTATAAAAATCAAAACGAAAACTAAATATTCACTCAGAGAATATGTTAAAAAAGTACAAACAAAATCTAAAACGTGTACTTTACATGTTATTTTTGGAGACTGGCCCTCATAACTGTCTTATCAAATATATTGTTTGATACATTGAACATAAATCAGGTATGGCTCCTTTAAAGCTGTGGTACCTAAATTTCAAACCACAAAATAACTTAATTGTATGTAACCAAATCCATGTAACTTGCTCCTCCCTCTGAAAACAGTTTTTTCTATCACTAGTTTTCACATGCATGTATTATTAGCCTCTGGCACATCTTTAGATCAGCAATTTCAGACAGAAAAGTGAAAAAGAGAGGAGCAGCCTCACTCAGCCAATCAGCTCTCGGTTCTAATAGTGACTCATGGGTCTCATTCTTACAACTGAGAAAGATCAGGATGGTTTTTTTTTCAGATGAAAACAACATGTGTACTGATTCATTCATAACATTATACTTTTACTCCTTCTGTTGCTTTCTGTTGCCTGAGTCCCTCCTCTGATGTGTATCTCTCATAGAAGGAAAGTTTAGACACCCCTGCTGCCATGCTTTATAACCAAGTCGTCCTATTGTTTTAGTTGAATTTAAATCTCAAGCTTTTGCCTTACTGTAACAACACTGGAACTCCCAGAGCAGTCAGTTTGTTTTGGAAGCGTAATTAGCATTAGCACCTTTTTGGTGTTTTTTCTTTTTCTATACCAAGTTTATTTCAATGCCATTATTTTTTATGACATGATATTTTTTATTTATGAAACATGAGTAGTTCTATCTTTGACTCTATTAATTTGAATGTGACATTCAAATTTAGCCATTTTCACTTTCTTTATTTCTACGGCAGTTAAAGCCCCTTTTTTAAAGGCGCTGCTCCTGGACTGGTGCTGGTTCATCTTGGCTTCCATAAGAGTAAAGCAAGAGCTAGTTACTATAGCAACACATTATTAACTTGTAGCAGTTACATTTAACCTTTCATAAAAAAAATAAGTACTGTATTTTAAGTATATTTATAGTTTTAGCACTTAGTATAGTGAGTAAAGTTAAATATCTAAGTAATTACTCACTTTTAATAAATTTTTTCTCAGAATCCATTGGTTTGATTGACAGCTCTGGGAGTTCTCGTAGTTTCATATATGTGGTCCTCGAGTCGACCTCCAGACAAACCCTTCACAGAAACTAAAGAAAGTGCTGTTTTAAATGTTGTAAATACATCACTGCAACCGGAGCTGCGAGCCTCAAGCTCTGTTTGATATCTTCCTTTTTTATTTTGCTTCAGAGTCCGAACAAAAACAAAACGCAACCGGAATATTTCAAGCCACACGAACAGTACGATTCAGCACCTTAGAGTTTATGTGTAGCATGTCACAAATGAAGAGGACTGGGCTTTTTCTGATGTGAAAGACTGTGTACATGATGCTCACTCCAATGTTTTGTAATTTTCCTTTTCGGTCTGACATGTAGTATAGTGTATAAAACTCAAAGCAGTATTATTTTAAAGCTAATTTATGCAAACCAAGCCATGCACGGTTTCAAATGTGTTAATAAAAAGGAACGCCACTTTGACTTTGACTTGTGCAATTCTTCTAACGCTGGTTACTGTAAATGCTGGTCTAAACAATCAACTATGTTACTGTATACATGTTACACTGCAAAAAGTGACACAAAATAAGTCAAAGCAGGGCAGCAAGGCGCAGTGGTTAGCGCTTGTACCTCACAGCAACAAGGTTCTAGGTTCAATTCCACTTCCTCTGTGTGGTAGGTTTCCCCGACCTCTAAAAACATGTACAATCAATCTGGCGTGTGCCTCTTGTACTGGCGACCTCGCTCTCGTCTCTGTGTGGAGTGAGAGACAAATGCCCACAATAATTGTAAAGTGCTTTGTGACTCTAGTCTGTGAAAGGCGCTATAAAAATAAAAACTTGACTCAAATGTAGAAAAATGTATCTTAATTTGGGACATTTTGACTGCCAAGAACAAGATATGCCAATAGGACAAGCAAAATTAACTCTCCTTTGGAATAAGAAAATAAAGCAACAGTTTCTGAAATACGACTAAATGGCTTTGTCCCATTGGCAAATATTGTTTATAGATTAGCTCAAACCAATTCTCAAAAGGAAGCGATCTTGGTGTCTTCTGTTCAAACGAGAAGATGTTCTCTCCCAACAAGAAGACGCCAAGAACGCAGAAATGCATAAGAACCCCAAGAAGCCTTGTTCTAAAGTTGAAGAGAAGCAGGACGTTCTGCAGAAACTGGAGAGTCTGAAGCCTCACAGTGACGAAGAGGAGAAGAAGCCTGACGTGAGTGAGTGTAGCTGCAGGATTTAATTTAAACCAAATAGTAATAATAATATATCAAATTTATATAGTGCTTCTTTGAACACCCAAAGACGCTTTATTAAACACATAAAAATATACCTTGAAGAAAAAAATTGAGGAAAGGCAAGGTGGAACAGGCGGGTTTTGAGAAGTGCTTTAAAGTTCTGTAGTGAGTGGGAGTTTATGATGGTGGTAGGAGTGAGTTCCAGAAAGTGGGGGCAGCTGCCGGAAATCTTTGCATGTAAACTCACCGCAACGCATGGTCCGGTGGGAACCTCGAAAACGCAACTTAAAGGAGCAACATGTAATTAAAGCCGCAAGCGGCGTCGAACGGCCCTCGCCGCACCGCGCGCACCACCCCGCACCAAGCCGCCATGCATCAAGTCGCCCCGCACCACGCCGCCCCGCACTACGCCGCACCACACCGTACCACGCAGCACCGTGCAAAGGAGCTGGGGCAGCCGTGTGATGATTTGTTGCTGTTGCCATAGAAGAACGTTAGTCAAATTGTAATGAATATGATGATTAGAGCTGTTTGGCACCCCATGTAAAACTTTGCCTCAATCTGAAGGGGGCGCTAATGGGCCAATTTCAAATATTTCACTTTCACCTGACCTAAACCCTGGAGTTGAACATTGGATTCAAGTTTTGTGCAAATCAGACTTTGTTTGTGCAAACGGGAGCAAAATTAATGTTGTGAAAAACGGTCAAAAAACACTCACAATTTGCCGCTCCGCTGCTCATACAACGTTTCATTGATCAAAAATCCCTTTGGTCATTTTGAAGGTACATGTGTTGAGATGATCTGGAGCAATTTTGAGGCCAATCGGTGAAACGGCCGAGGAGGAGTCGCTTTCCAACCGACATGTATGAAAATGATTGTGGATCATTTTTCCATTTTGCAGTGAAATTTATGGGCTTCCTGTTTGTCAGAGGGCGGAGCCATGATAACATTTTGGTCGTATCTTGACTTGAGGAACATGTGTACCGAATTTCATGGCTCTACGACAAACTTGACGTCTGAAACTCCCATTGGCTGTTGTAGGTGGCGCTGTTCTGGCATTTTTTGAGTCCCACAAAAATAAACACCAAAATATCACATTTTTCACCAGGTCTGATGTTTGGGCAAAATTTTACAACTTTTCATGCATGTTCAGGGGGTGAAATTAAGGCTCAAAGTGCAGAATTTGACATCTATCGAGCAAAAACAATAGGCCCTTTCCCCGTTCGGGGCTCGGATCTAAAAATCTTGCCAAAAGTGGTACTGCAATCACAGTCAACATTCTGTAGTCCTCTCCTATGCTACCTGACTCAGGTTGCCAGATATGTAGACAAATCCAGCTGGGACCATAATAGCTGAATACACAAGAGTTTTGTCAACAACAAATCTATAACCTTTTTCACAAAGCCATCCCTGAACTTTTGACATATTATGGCCATTTAACGTAGTATATAAGTATACTTTTGTACTTGTGTATACTTGTGTATACTGTGATTCTACAGGTAAAACTCCATGAGATATTTCAAAAAGAAAAAGGTTATATTTGTATCCAAAAATATCAGACCGGACCTGTATAAAAAATACAATGCATTTCCGATGCTAAATGGAATTGGAAATATACAGTGGGGCAAAAAAGTATTTAGTCAGCCACCGATTGTGCAAGTTCTCCCACTTAAAATAATGACAGAGGTCTGTAATTTCTCATAGGTACACTTCAACTGTGAGAGACAGAATGTGGAAAAAAAAATCCAGGAATTCACATTGTAGGATTTTTAAAGTATTTATTTGTAAATTATGGTGGAAAATAAGTATTTGATCACTTCAAACAAGGAAGATCTCTGGCTCTCACAGACCTGTAACTTCTTCTTTAAGAAGCTCTTCTGTCCTCCACTCGTTACCTGTGTTAATGGCACCTGTTTGAACACGTTATCTGTATAGAGAGCACATGGATGATACAGCAGAGGATTGGGAGAATGTCATGTGGTCAGATTTTCTGCTAAGGGAACAGGACGACTGATCCGTATTAAGGAAAGAATGAATGGGGCCATGTATCGTGAGATTTTGAGCCAAACCTCCTTCCATCAGTGAGAGCTTTAAAGATGAAACGTGGCTGGGTCCAAACACACCGCCCGGGCAACGAAGGAGTGGCTCCGTAAGAAGCATTTGAAAGTCCTGGAGTGGTCTAGCCAGTCTCCAGACCTCAACCCCATTGAAAATCTGTGGAGGGAGTTGAAAGTCCGTGTTGTCCCCAAAACATCACTGCTCTCGAGAAGATCTGCATGGAGGAATGGGCCAAAATGTTTGCATCTGTGTTTGCAAACCTGGTAAAGACCTATAGTCTTCTTTTGACCTCAGTTATGGCCAACAAAGGTTATATTACAAAGTATGGAGTTGAATTTTTGTTATTGACCAAATACTTATTTTCCAACATAATTTACAAATAAATTCTTTAAAAAACCTACGATGTGAATTCCAGGATTTTTTTTTCACATTCTGTCTCTCACAGTTGAAGTGTACCTATAATGAAAATTACAGACCTCTGTCATTATTTTAGGTGGGAGAACTTGCACAATCGGTGGCTGACTAAATACTTTTTTGCCTCACTGTAGATGTAAGAAATCAACAGATCTCTGTCCTTCAGACATGAAAACATCCATAGTACAGCAGCAGTTCCCTGATCATTGGGCCACTTGCTCACTCAATCATAAAACACATTCATATCACAAGAATGGGACTTTTACAACATGTATTTTCTTTGTGCTTGTTGTTTTGTAGGCATCTTTGGGAATACCTCCTGAGTGTTACTGAGGCCCTGGACCTTATTTTGGGAACCACTGCAGTAGTAATTTCATCAGTGATCACGCTTCAGTCAGAGCAGCAGCAATACATTGCTCCTTGTTTGTGTTACTTAAAAAAAACACTTCAACCTTCAACTCTACATCTGTATTGGCAGAAATGTCTAAGTAAGTTACTATTCTATTTATATTTTAATATAATTTAAATATTAAAATATATATATATATTTTTTTTACGAATATTAGACAGCCCTTAATTTTCTAAATGACTGTAATAAACATAGTTAGATCCCCAAAGGGGTCGCTTGTGGACGTGGCTAGGCGGATACACAGCTAAGATAGCTAGTTCAAAAACTCTCTCAAACTACATGAAACTGAACAAAGAATTCTGAACAATCAGCGGCTGAGTTAACCATTTATATCTGAACCCATCAGCCATTTATCAAATCCTCTTCAATGTGTCCTAAAATGTTCTTTGTGTTAATGATTTACTGCGGGCTAGCGAATAGCACAGGCTAGCCTATCTGACACAGACAGAAGTATTGACAGGGCCTGCTGAAAGCCCGCTGTAATTGCGATATAATTGTTAGGAGCTGTGTAGTAAATTAAAATTAAAATATTCGAATATGATTCAAATGTTTAAATTAATAAACAAAGATAAGATTTTTTATAACTAAAGTCAAAAGCCCTAATGAGTGTTGGAAATGTGCATATCGGTCTAATTTGACATGAACAATTCAGTCTTGTTCTGTGATAAGGTCCTGTTTCCTGAATTATTCAAGGATAGATGTTTTGTTGTTCTCCTGAGTCTAGAGTCCTGCACATGGCTCTATTCATTGTAGGTACCACTTTTTATTACATGGTTTATACATAATTTACCACAAACAACATTTCCCATTTAGTAAACTACAGTGTGTGACGTGAATCCAATGGTTGTGTGTGTTAAAGTCTGGGTGTAATGACACTGAGCGTCTGTCTGTTCTTCTATGATACACACACCTTCATTAGTTACACAGTGTCTTAATTATCAATTTTGTGTAATGGAAACGACAGTTACACGGCTTTTTTATACAATAAAGGACAAAACATTCAAGAATATAGACAACCAATAGAAACAAGAACTCGGTTTAATATATGTTCTTAAAGTAAACAGATGAATGAATGTCATTAAACAGACGGTAAAAGACGCTAGCGGCCTGTGGCTAATGCTACGCTTAACAGCACTAGCCGAACACACACTCACCGATCGCACGGAGCAGGCAGCAGCTGCGGTGGTAGAAGGGAGCTCTACCACGGGGATCATGAGTGTTCCCTCTGCTCCAATCAGCTGCTGACTTTATGAAGACACAAAGATCAAAGATCGTTGTTAGGGACAGATGCTAGTGGAAAATAACGATGCTCTCACGTTGGCATCTTTAGCTCTTGTCTGGGAATATTTACTTGGTTGAACAACTTGGCAGCACAGGGAGCATGAGCTTAGAGGAAGTTAGCGATAGAACAACATGACTACATCTGTAGCGCCTTCAAAATAAAGCTTCTGTTTAGACAGGGAGTAAATCGTATAATTAAAATACAATTTAACACCCCCTCGCTGTATAGCTCACTGGGGTAAAACTGAATAATGCATTTCATAAAACAAGACACTTTTCTTTGTAAAACCTTTTAGCTTTTGTCAAAAGATCAGCTATCATCTTTAACAGTAGGACAATATTCCAAAACCACCTTCCCTGTGATTACAACACCTATGATGAAATGATCTTCCACGACATGTGCATCTTTGTCTGTTTACAGGATCTTTTGTGAGGGTTATTGTTCCTTAGTAGTCGTCATACACTTTTGGTTTTAACATATTTGTAAACTGTCTAAATCTTGAAGAGGCTGTAAAGGACACTCCTGTTACAGCTGAGGTAAAGGAGATATGCTCGAATGTAGAAAGGGTAATGTCGTTGTTTTTGTGTTTTCCTTGAAAAATGAGGGACTCTTCTTTCACACAGATGGCACAATTCCTGATGTGCTACGTGTCTGTTGTCACGTTTTGAAGCCCAACTTGCCTCCACAGTATACTTTTTAGGACCAGTTTTTTTGTGGATTCTTTTTGAAGTATAGTCTTGGTAGGATTTAGCAGACAGAGACGGATCGAGGGTGTGCCAAATCTGGAAGTTTATTTAAGTTTCTCTCAAGTTCCACTGGTTTACTCTGTTTCTCTCTCTCAGACAGAATAAAGCAGTACACAGTTTATATAGTAATTGTCACGTCACACATGGAAAAGACTACGTGTCACAAAGAGACAGTACAATTCATAGTCTAACATGGAGTCCTTGTAGAGTCCTAGTACAGTCCTGCACGTAGGCCATATTGCTATCTAATACTAACACCCTCCCCTTGTCACATAATCACATGTGATCACTCAATAGATCAATCAATAAAGTGAAAAAAGAAAAAAAGAATCCAAAAAAAACTTTAAAAAATTATTAAAAACAAAAGAAATGTTATGCATTACCCAATCATAATCATCAATCAATATCAGTTGATTTTTATCCTCTATCCTGGAAAAATAAACAAAACAAAAACAACCAAAATAAAACCAAACAAACACTATTGGACACACAAGAACTCAGCAGATTCAGTCAAAACACAGACAAAAAACGAGCTGAGTCTTCAATTTAGAAGCTAATTTAACTTTTATTTACTCTAACTATTATTCTAATGCTGATTGTTTACACTACACTTCAATGTATTGTTTTCACTTTTCAATCTTAGGACTGTGTACATTCCTTTTACTATTCAATATAGTTTTAAAACTATTCTTATCTATTACAAAATATGTTTGCATATTTGCTTCTATGAGCCATATTCTTTAAAACAAACATTTTATTCTAATAAATCTTCTGTGGTCTTATACTTTCATTATACAGTGGACTGAATGTTAGTGGAATTTTGCTCTTTGTCTACTCTACATTTCTCAGGAATAAACTGTGAACACCGACTGAAATGCAAATGGTCAACATTTACCACTTCTTAGTGGGTCAGTTGATTGTTTACTTTTTATTATCTAAAGATATTATTGTCAGGCCAGTTTGGGATGAATGAACATCATAATCAAATTAGTAATTATCCTTACAGAGCTAATCTTATTATTAGCACGGTTTGGGGTTGGGTCTACAATGGTGTATGATTTCTGCTAATCGTGTTCTGATGACATCGACAGAGGGGCTACACCCAAATACAATCAAAGGCATTTGAATCTCTGTTGGTTGTAATCTATCTCAATGATCTAGGCATTAATCTAGCTACACTCATATGGACTTTTTGTATTGTCAACAATCACTCTATGTGTGAATCACAAGTGATTTGCAAGTATCTAATAAAGAACTATAATGAACTTTACTTCTGAAGTAAAGGTTTGTGAATAGTCCCTCTTACCTATTTGATAATAGCACTGGCTACAAATATTCTCTATTTTTGAAAGCATCTATGTGTTGCATTTATCTAATTTCTATTTCTACACTTATTGTGGACTCTAAAGTCACGCTGCAACTTGAGGCAAAGGCATATTCCCTAATTTGTGACTTCTGTCTCACTTTTAATATCTCTAACATGTTCTGATTCTAATATGTATAGGCTCTATCAAATGGATAACTTGTATGGTACTATTTTAACTCTTACAGTGGAATGTTTATGAAAACAAAGGAAGTCAAATTCTACTTTTTTACTACTATTTAACATATATAAAACGCTACAATAATATTACTTTATCATTTTCAAAGTTTTGAACTTTTTGCTCAGTCTCCAGACAAAAAAGTCAAAGTTCTTTGTCTCTGTCAGATGTCTGAATAATTAACATGTATATTTGCATTTGGTCGAAAAGGAATAGTTCACCGTTTGTACATACTGACATATGTTCTTACCTTACCTTAGACTAGTTAATACGTACCTGTCTGGTCTTAGTCCGTGCGCTCTGTCATGCAAACGGAGCAAAAACTGGAGCACAACCGCGCAGCCTCCTCTGTATATTGTGTAGCACCAAAAGGTAGCTCCCGCTAGAAGCTACCAAACTCTTCCAAGTGTTCCCTATTAAATGTATATAGTTACGTGACGTGTTACACTGCAAAGTATAGTAACACAGAAATGTAACAGTCGATTTTCTCAGCGGATAAAACGGGTACTATATTGTGAGGCGTAGTAATCTGAGGTGCGCTACGTCCGCGCACTAACTTCTCTCCGGAGACTTCTCTCTCGCTCACTTCCGTCAATAGAAGCAGCGTGACTTGTAATACACACAGTAGCAGCGAGAGAGAAGTCTCTGGAGAGAAGTTAGTGCGCGGACGTAGCGCTCCTAACTTCTCTGCAAACTAACTTCTCTCCAGAGACTTCTCTCTCGCTGCTACTGTGTGTATTACAAGTCACGCTGCTTCTATTGACGGAAGTGAGCGAGAGAGAAATCTCCGGAGAGAAGTTAGTGCGCGGACGTAGCGCACCTCAGATTACTACGCCTCACAATATAGTACCCGTTTTATCCGCTGAGAAAATCGACTGTTACATTTCTGTGTTACTATACTTTGCAGTGTAACACGTCACGTAACTATATACATTTAATAGGGAACACTTGGAAGAGTTTGGTAGCTTCTAGCGGGAGCTACCTTTTGGTGCTACAAAATATACAGAGGAGGCTGCGGTTGTGCTCCAGTTTTTGCTCCGTTTGCATGACAGAGCGCACGGACTAAGACCAGACAGGTACGTATTAACTAGTCTAAGGTAAGGTAAGAACATATGTCAGTATGTAAAAACGGTGAACTATTCCTTTAATATTTGAATGTGACTGTACCTGAATCCTTGCGCCTCCTCTTTCTGTAATACACCACAGAGACACAGCACAATATGACAATGGGGACCGCAATCCAAGCAAGGGCCCTCAGAGCTGGGGGATACAGGATTTCAATGTATAAGCATAATTTACATATTACACCGTTTATTTAAAATTCACTTTTTGTTTTTGCAAATAATGTCAAGAATAAAAAGGCTGGGGTATATCACCTTTTGCTTTGTAAATAATTCATGTCATTTGTCTCAACAGAAAGATTATTGAAAGAGTTGACTTAAAGAAGTGACGGACTCCAAACAAATATGCACGAGACAACTACTGATAGTGATAGAACTGTTTTGAGAGAGAACTGCTGTTATTGCTGCACAATGTACATATTATTCCTATGTCAGAGTAAACACACACTTACACAGGACTTGTTTAGTGGAGCATGACTGTTGCCAGAGCAAAGTATGGACTTACAGTATTTTAACTTCAGTTTAGGATGCATGATATTTTCAAAATAGATTGGTAAAAGACAGTGGCACAGTTGGTAGAGCATTAGCCCTGTTAGTCTCAAGATTGTGGGTCCGATCCCACCACTAGACCTTCTCCACCAACTCCCACTGAGGCTGTCTGCTGTTGTTGTGTCCTTGGGCAAGACACTTAACCCCACTTTGCCTGAAGCCCCCACTGACAGATCAAGACTGTGTCGTCTCTGACAGAGCAGCCGTCCTCCTGTGGACTCACCACCTGCAGGAGGATCAGTGAGGGGCTGGTGCTCTGTGACTTAGATGCATCTCTGACTGCCCCGCCCACCCAGAAATGGATTAAGGGGAAGAAAATGGATGGATGGATGAGGGTTAGACATGTACCCCAGGGTCATTATTTTATTTACCAAATCTTTATTATCATCACCTTCAGTTAAAATTGGACACAACATGTTTTGTTTTGCTCCATCAGCAGTTGGTTAAGTGTAACCTTACAACATGCAGTTTATATGTGCACAAAATGACTTTCTTCAAATTTAGTTGCAACTATTGAAGGTACATGGATTCTATTATGTTGTTAGTTTTTTATGTAGTTTGAGTTGGGTACCTCAGCTTGAAGTCTATTTGATAATGCAGAATCATGTTTAATAAAGAAGTTAAAACTGAAATGAATCTTTCTCCATGATATCAGTCAGATCATTGAGACCAGGAGCGTGTTGCTTTAGCGGAAACAACATGAATAAACTATTTTCCATCACGTTTTGTGGTTCATTGCAGTTTAAACACATACTCCACTGTAATTTAAGGTTGACTGGTGTTTATATGTTATGTTGATTTCACTGCTGTCATAATTCTTTAAAAACATCTTACTCACGGCTGCTTTTGTTATAACACCACTTCTTTGTCACCACCGGAACACCTTCTCTCAGCGCTGAGCACACGACGTCCCCGCGGCCCAGAGAAGCCACTGGGATCCAGAATTTGATGAGAAGACTTCTGTTTCTAACAATTAAATCACTGTTTATGAATGTATTGTCAGCTTCAGACCAGGTGAGGTTGAAGTCGCTGTCACAGGGGTCACAGGCACAGGTCAGCACACAGCTCAGCGTGGCATTGTGTCTTTCTGCGTCCATCTGAGCAATGACTGCAGGGGGAAAGTAGAATAATTATGGATTATTCTGTCACTTGGTGAAAACTAAAGGTCTCAGTCAAAAACAGAAATGAACACAAATGATAATGGACCAGCCACAAAAGGGGGTGAGCACAGGTACGTCTTGACACAGAGAGACACCCCAGTTGTCATCGGTCCATTATCTCTACCTTGTTTGTTCCTGTCTTGTTTTTGTTACTCTGGATTTGGATTCTATCAAATTACATTTTTTTTCAGTCCTGCATTTTGGGTTCTTTTTTTAATTGCACATGAAAAAAATAACCATAATGCACATCATGGCACATGCAGTGCCTTGCGAAAGTATTCGGCCCCCTTGAACCTTTCAAAACTCGCCACATTTCAGGCTTCAAATTTTCAATTTTAATTTTTTGTCATGAATCAACAGCAAGTGGGACACAATCGTGAAGTGGAACGAAATTTATTGGATAATTTAAACTTTTTTAACAAATAAAAAACTGAAAAGTGGGGCGTGCAATATTATTCGGCCCCTTTACTTTCAGTGCAGCAAACTCACTCCAGAAGTTCAGTGAGGATCTTTGAATGATCCAATGTTGTCCTAAGTGACTGATGATGATAAATAGAATGCACCTGTGTGTAATCAAGTCTCCGTATAAATGCACCTGCTCTTTGATAGTCTCAGGGTTCTGTTTAAAGCGCAGAGAGAACCATGAAGACAAAGGAACACACCAGGCAGGTCCGAGATACTGTTGTGGAGAAGTTTAAAGCTGGATTTGGATACAAAAAGATTTCCCAAGCTTTAAACATCTCAAGGAGCACTGTGCAAGCAATTATATTGAAATGGAAGGAGTATCAGACCACTGCAAATCTACCAAGACCCGTGTTGCTTTTACGCCAAGTTTGGCGTAAAAGCAACACAGCTCATCACCCTGAACACACCATCCCCACTGTCAAACATGGTGGTGGCAGCATCATGGTTTGGGCCTGCTTTTCTTCAGCAGGGACAGGGAAGATGGCTAAAATTGATGGGAAGATGGATGGAGCCAAATACAGGACCATTCTGGAAGAAAACCTGTTGGAGTCTGCAAAAGACCTGAGACTGGGACGGAGATTTATCTTCCAACAGGACAATGATCCAAAACATAAAGCCAAATCTACAATGGAATGGTTCACAAATAGACGTATCCAGGTGTTAGAATGGCCAAGTCAAAGTCCAGACCTGAATCCAATCGAGAATCTGTGGAAAGAGCTGAAGACTGCTGTTCACAAACGCTCTCCATCCAACCACACTGAGCTCAAGCTGTTTTGCAAGGAAGAATGGGCTAGAATTCCAGTCTCTCGATGTGCAAAACTGATAGAGACATACCCCAAGCGACTTGCAGCTGTAATTGCGGCAAAAGGTGGCGCTACAAAGTATTAGCGCAAGGGGGCCGAATAATATTGCACGCCCAACTTTCCAGTTTTTTATTTGTTAAAAAAGTTTAAATTATCCAATACATTTTGTTCCACTTCACGATTGTGTCCCTCTTGTTGTTGATTCTTGACAATTTTGTTTAATTTTTATATCTTTATGTTTGAAGCCTGAAATGTGGCAAAATGTTAAAAGGTCGAATACTTTTGCAAAGCACTGTACATTGATTCCCCCTTAAAGCTGCACTAACTGACTTTAGGATTTTGAAGCCGTGGACTCGCTGGCCTCGCTCTTTCTGCTCCCCTCCTCGCACCCACAAAGCTATCGCCCCCCACACACACCCACTGTTGGGACGGAGCTAGTGTCTCCCAATATGGATAATACATGGATATGGATTTGCACGTGGATGGCAGTGTTGTGCCAGTTCACAGCTTTTCTGAACTAGTTCAAGTTCAGTTCATACATGCTCAAAGTGAACAGTTCACGTTCAAAGTTCACATTTTTAATTCTGAACTAGTTCAAAGTTCAGTTCATTTTACTTTTTTTGTGAGATACTTAAAGAGCAACTAAACACCAAACTTTTTTAAACTCATAAACTGCATAAATATGTTTATTGTAGTGCTGTCTACATATCCTGGTCATTTTTTTGACATTTTAGTTTAAATTAGATAAAATATCACTTTTGAGCCAACAAACGTCTGTGTGGTGCCCTCTCAACCTTTTTGGTGGTACTACATTTGAATTTGGTTCTGGCCTCTCCATTGACTCTGAAGTTCTCTATGACATCAGTTGTTTTGTGTGACGTCAGTCTGTCAGAGCCAGTGATGTGAACCCATCCAACTCTCACACACGCCCCAGCTGCAGTTTGGAGTATTCTGGCGCCATCTAGTGGATTAAAATTAAATTACATGAGTCATTCTGAGATTATTGAGTGTGATTAGGTTCAGGTGTGTAGCTTTACAATTATCTTAGTGTGTAAACAAGGGTGGAATGAGACTTTCTGGTCTGTAAACTATTGCTTTAAGCAGCAATGACAACTGTCTGTTTTTTTGTGTGTGACAAGTGAGCTGTCAATCACAGCCCAGACCAACCCCAACTCTAAGCCCCCCTTCTTGTACCTTGGTCCTCCAGGCAACGCCCTTTTTAGAGAAAATTTTCAAATCTTCATGTGGGAGGAGTAAGGCTGGGCACAGGTGTTTAGTCGCTCTTTAAATGCATATTTTTTTCACACTACGAGCTATATATATATATATCTCCTGTACACCCACAGGAGGAGAGTCTTTTGACCACAAAACAGACAAGTCAAATGTAAACGGTGTAAACTTTGTCGCTAACTCACCCTGTGTTTTCATCACAACTCGGGCACATGTGAAAAGCACCAGCTCACAGCGCCGCACCGCAACCATAGACTGTATATATTAACGGACAGAGTCACGCCTATCTCCGCTGTTCTAACTAATGGGCCAAAAAATGTGCTCTACTGGAGCTATCCAAGATGGCCGCGAGTGGTCCCGCCCATAAGAAAATTGTGAAAAAACGCATCTGCACATGCGTCAAAAATTCACAGCAAGTAAACTAGAGTGGACCAAAAAAATCCACCCCCCTCAGCATTGACACACATGTGGAACGGAGCTTTGGGCCAAGAGCCAACTTTTGGTCCATCCTGTAAAGACGTTTTTGAGAGGTCTGCCAATGCTATATGTTAGCACTGGCTAATTCTACTTCTGGGTCCACCCCCAACGGCCCGGGGTGGTATTGCAAGCATGTCAGCGCACATCATTTTGACCACTTTTGAGCTGGGACCCTCCCCCACTGACCGCAACACGGAGTCGGGGTGCGTTCACAGACGGTGGAAACCGTAGGAATTTTTAGATTTCGCCGAAAAAGTGCGAGAATACAGGAGGGAGGAACTTTCTCTCGTTGCGTTTCAAAAGAGAAAAACAGATTCCAACGTTCATAGTGATGTCTGCCGTTCATGACACATAAAATGAACTAATTCACGTTCAAGTTCTTTTTTTTAAAATGTGTTGCGTTCAGTTCAACGTTCACAAAAAAATGAGCGTGTTCAATGAACGCGTTCTTTTGAACTTGTACACGCACAACACTGGTGGATGGCGTGACGGGAAGCGCGGAGGAAAGAGACTTTCTTTTGGATGGCTGTTTCGCTGCGTAAGCAGTAACCGGTGACGAAGACGAGAAAGTTTCAGGTTAGCTCCGCCGCTTGTTCTGCTAACTCAGCTGCCTGTGTTAAGGGACCTGTAGATTTCTCACAAAAGTGGGGGCTAGTGGTCCGCTGTGATTGGTCACAATCTGCGACCCGAAACACATTCTCTTCCTTGTTTCATCAAAACTCGATCTAAAATATAATGTCACGCCAACACAAATCTGAGCTACTTTTTCTACAAAAGGACGTATATCCCAATGCACTACATGGACATGGATAGCATTTTCATAATGAATACAAAAATAAAGTCAGTTAGTGCAGCTTTAAACATGAGCTTGAGAATGTTTACTTTTTAAAATATTCTCAAAATGTTTTTAATATCTTGTATGGATAAAAATGACAATTTGAGTAAGAGATGACGAGAATACAGCTTAAGTGAGAAATTGCACTCTGCTATACATTCTAGATCCATACATTAAAACATGACATAGTCCAATGGAAAGTATGGAGATATTTGACTATAATTAAAAACCCAACCAATTAGGGTTTGACCAATTTAATGTTATTTCTTGTGGTTTTATTTTCTAATCTGCCGTTAGTGAATCCACATTTGTGCGACACCCTTCAAGACAACTACTATTGTGTTTTTGGGTGATACAAAAATACATTGATTTGGTTTGAAAAATATGTAGATCAGGTTTAAGAGCTGAAAGAATGCAGAACACGCGTTTTTAGCACTCACTGTCAATTGTGTGGAGCCAGATCGTTTTGGCCTGTCCTCCTTCTACACACTGATATTCCCCCGAATGAGAAGCTGTGACAGCTTTGATCACTGTGGTGGTAGCTGTGTTTGACATCAACGACCATGTTTGGCCTTCTCCAGTCAAAACAGAAGAGGAAGCATTTGTACAAGCGAGAGACACGGACTCACCCACTGCTGCGAACACTTCCTCTTTGCCATCTGTGGAAATACAACACATTTTCACCAACGTTGGAGTTGACCAGGGCAAGTACAGCCGTGTCCAAAAAGTAACTTTTGACTAGTTAAACGCTCCTCTAACTCCATGAGTGGTTCTCAAAGTGAGGTCCGGGGCCCCCTCTGGGTCCTCAGACGCACTTCAAGGGGGATCCCAAAGGTTGGCAACAAGCAATTGATAAAATATCTTACAGATATTTAGTTGCATACATTTATCAAACTGGAGAAAACTGGCTCAATTTTGAATTATATCCTATTTTGGATCTAAACTTTAGTCAAATGTGCACTGTCTATTAGCCAAGGCAAAACCCAATCAGAATTACAGATAAATAAAGATTAAACAAGGCATAAACGCCTAAATGTTTAGAGGATCTGATTTGGCTCCTGGGACTAACTAACCATTCAGGTATAAGTCAGAGGTGCCATATCTAACGTCTGGAGCGCTGCGGCCCCTCAAAACACTCTAAAGATGACTCAGGGACCCCTTCATCTGTCACATGTTTCCTTGTTCATTTAAACACTACACATTCTTAAATTTGCCTTGGGATTGTTCCAATTAGTAATTTGTTTGTTGTTTTGCAAAACCGGTGTAAATGACAAATGGCTGCTCTGAAGAGTGAAGCACGGGGCACATGTACCTGCGGCTGTAGTGAGGTACGAGGCTGTGGCTTTAACAGAGCCGTTCACCTGCACCTGGCACCTCCACCGTCTGAGGTGGTCCGTCTGCTTCTGCCAGTGGAAGTGCAGTTTGAAGAAACAGTTGGAGACGTTGTGGATCTGAAAGCGCTGTCCTCGGAGTGGGCTGTTGTCCTCTGCGACCCACATGACCCTGAGTCCAGGCTCGGTGCACGGTGACAGTCCGCGGTGATTGTTGATGTAGCATTGCAGCTCAACAGGGTTCTCCTGGTTTTTAGTAACTGTCAAAAGAAAAGATAAAAAAACTTGAGTCTGGTGTGTGTGTGGAGGATTGATGGTTTGGTTTTGGGCTCTGCTTTAAAACTATAAAAAACATAGAAAATAGTAAAGCGTATGGACTTATATGAAGGTTTTGTAAATAAGAGATAAGTAAGGGATAATATATCGTACACAGGTCATTATCGGAAAATAAGTACCGAAGGTACAGTTAGGCTAGCAACTCCCAAACTAGAACTCTCTGGAACTGCATTGAAACTGAACAAAGAATTCTGAACATCAGCGTTACATTACACTTCATTCATTAGAAATCCCATATCAACCTGTTAGATTCATGTTATCAATGGATAGATCTGCTGAAAGCTACGCCTGTCTTTACCTCAGTAAAATGACGCATGCGCAGACCAACTGACAGAGCACACAACTCGTCTGAACACCAGATGTTGACATTATGAAATTGATAATCAGTGACTGAAATTCACAGACCAAAATATTCAAGATGTTAAAAACATTCAAATAGATGAATTCAGGTGCATTTAAAATTCAATTTCTGATGGAACAAGATTCCGGCTTTTTTTTTTTCATTGAATTTTTATTCTTATATATTTTGAAGGTGAAATTTTGAAATTTTATTCACAATGAAATTTGTAAACTGAATTTTTTGTGACTGAAATGTAAAGATAAAAATATTCAAACATGCTTTTCAGGGTTAAAAAAAAAAAAAAAAGTAAGCTAAAAAAAATTCTAAATCTGATGACACAAAAAATCTTCCATAAGGGCTCTACATGGTCAGGCGCCTGAATACATCCAGGGCCTGATCCACCCCTATGTCTCCGACAGGAGCATGAGGTCCTCCACTCAGAACCTGTAGATGGTCCCCCGCACTCACTTTAAAACCAGAGGAGACAAATAAACTTTACTTACTTACTTACTTACTTAGTTCATATTCTTGTGAGCTGGATTTTCAGTTGATTTGTTAGATAAGATAAGATCCAATAAGAAAAGATAAGAGATCCTTTAGTTGTCCCATAGTGGGGAAATGTCAATGTTGCAGTGCACATACAGGTCAGTAGTATGAGCAAACTAAATATACAGTATGATTAGCTGCTGTAGCTGCTATGTTTCTTAGCTAGCTTTAAATGCTTCATCAATATATATCAATATATCAATGGGTAAAGGTGTTGTATGTTGGGTGTTCTTGTGTTCTGCTCCAAATGTGTCTGAGAAGAACAAACTGACAGACACACTCCTTCTAAGTCCTTCTAAGGCAGGTACCGGCCATCCCCTGTGCTTCACAACATGAGCGTACAGTCTACTCACTGTTGAGGAACTGAAGCTCCACGTTCCAGGTCTTTTTGCCGTTTTCACAAATATAAACTGCGGGGTAACTGTGGTCCATGTGCTTGATGAGCAGAGAGCAGTCTGAGAGCAGAGTCACATTAGGATCCATCACTTGTCCCGGATTGATCAGTGCAAAGAGGGGGTCAGCTCTGGTCCAGGACACAGAGGTGCAGCTGGAGCCACGGGCCACAGGGCAGGGCAGAGTCACACGGTCTCCTGGTGCGGCAAACATCAGATCTGCAACATCACAACACGTTCATTAATGCAGTCAGAATATGTCAAATCAGATGCTGTCATCAGTTTTTGGCCATTTGCCATTGACCACTTCCCCTGATCTCTAAAACTAACTTTCCATCACTAAATACTCGTGTGCAGTGTTGTTACCTGAACGAAGAGCTGCCTCTTTCAGAATAGCAAATAGAATTCCAATACAAAATGAGAAATCCATTTTGAAAAACGTGTAGTTTGTGGTGGCAATCATAACTAAAGACAAAGAGGAGTGAGAACAAACCCTTAAATACTTCAGGAAATGACACATATCACAACAGCAGCTCGTGGTGTTTTTTCTCCTACTACAGCAATACTTGCAAATACTTCTCATTTTGCCACACTGAAAACATGACCAAGAGAGACTTGGTTTAAATGCATGACAAGAGTGGCCATATATTTGTATTTACAGCTGCAGTTTAAAATGTCCATACTAGATGGTGCTATTAACTTTCATCTCCTAAAGAGCACTGTTTTTAATACAATACGTTTCATAGGTGTTTACACAGTTTATTGTCTTGTTATTGTTATTGTTATGTAATGTTATTATGAAGAATATATCAAGCTTTCACATGCAGGTGTCTAAAGTCACAGCATTCGCACCTCTTTTAAAGCACACTGAGGATGGCTCAGAGTTCTCATTCACACAAGGCACTGTTTAGTTTAGACCTACTCTTGGTCGATGTTTGTGATTCACTGTGATAGAATGTAATCATTCCATCCAGTTCAATACATCCTTCAGTCCATCATCAGTGTCCCGCTCACTGAAGCGCTGAACCAACTCAAATGACCACAACATGTGGCCATCAACAAAGTAAAGTCTGTGTATGCAGCTGTGTGCGTGGGAGAGGGAGTGAGGGTGAGTGAAGGAGGGACAATGTACCTCCATTTTTGCACAAAAGCCCTACCAAGGCAGGATGTTTTGTAGTAATTTCTGACTGCGCTGTCCCAGTCAAAGATATAGATCAATAAAAGGGACCTTTTTGAATGAAAATAGTGGATTCCTCAACCAGACTCCCAGGAGGAGCAGAAATGGCTCAGGAAGAGCTCATATGAATCATTGGAGATCAACCTGAAGATGGCGCTCTTCTCTCCTAATGACCCTCCTAAGTATAGAGCAGGGGTGGCCAAACCTCCAGTTAGTGGGCCAACATTAAATTAGCGAGACTAGGGCCAAGGCTAATTATAAGTTACATCACTGTGGAACCTGTGCACAGCATCTCCAGCTAAATCTAATGTACATCACAGTCAGGGCTGGGACAGATTCTTAATCATTGGAATAGATGACATATCACTAGCTACTGGAATGAAAATGTCATATATTTGTGCTGCCACATGGCTGTTTTTTAGAATGAAACTGAGTTACATTACTGAGAAAGCTATGACACTAATAAAGATGAAATCAGTCCAAGTTCTGTCTATAGACTGTCTGCTGTGTCTTTCCATTAATCAATCAGATCAGGGCCAGTGAATATTCCTTTTTTGTACATTGATTCAATCAAAACAAAGCCACGGTTATGCCTATTATGTTAATAAAACCACGTTTCTATTTCCTTCTGCAGTGATTACAGCTTGAGCAATGTTTCAACTTTCAAGGCATGTTTAAATCTGTTCTGCTGTTCCAGGACAAACAGCGCTCTTTTCTGTCTCACACCAGTTACATTTAACCATAATGATCTGTCTGTTTACTCAAATTAATTATAACAGTGTGAAAACACGGCAAATGTTCACTAATAATAATAATAATAATAATGCATCAGATTTATATAGCGCTTTTTTGGACACTCAAAGACGCTTCACATGTCATTATTTTTACACTCAATACACAGTGGTGATAAACTACTAATGTAGCCACAGCTGCCCTGGGGCACACTGGCAGAGGCGAGGCAACCAGTGCCATCGGCCCCTCCGACCACCACCAACCATTCACAAAAAACACGGCCCCACTGAGGCAGCCACGGCTCAGAGGTTAAGTGTCTTGCCAAGGACACAATGACAGCAGACATTAGTGAGAGTCGGTGGAGTCTTGAACCCACAACCTTCTGGCTCAAAGGCCAATGCTCTACCAACTGAGCTAGTGCCGTACTTAATCTACATGTGACTTTAATAACTAATAGTGAGATACTTATGGGATAAGGTTAATGTCAATGAAGACGTGCATGTCTAAAAAAAATTCGTGCATATTTATTGGTATTTGTGCATAAAAATATTTTATTAATTCATGATTAAGATAATACAAACTTAAGAATTAAAAAATATAAAACTGTATGTGTGATTTTGTACTTGTGAATGCGATTTTTTTTGTGTGCTTGCATTTTCTTTGAGAATACGAATTTCAGCAGTGAGCAAACTGTCAATAATACGTCACTGCTCACAGACATTAACAATCGAGCCTGCGCAGAGTTGATCATGGCAGAGGGCAACAACATTAACAATTTGGCTCAAAATCAGGTAAATAACTATATTTGATCCATTTGGTCGTAAATAAATGTGTACGAAATATTAATTCCATAAAATGTGGTCATAAGATGTTTCTTGTCCCTCTCTAGAAAAGTTTTTTTAGACAGTGTTTAGTTAACACTAGCTTCAAGGCTAGTTTTACAGCTTACTATGTTATTTTAAAACCAAAATTTTTACATTCTTAGCAGTTACATTTTATGAAGCCTTTGCCCCGAATCAATGTGGTTAATGAGTTGATACCAGCCCCAACCCTCCAGATTATTAATAGTTCGCGCTGTTACTGCCCCTGAGTAATATGAAGTTCACCTCCGTGCTATACTCATTGGTTGTTAGACGTAGCAGACCCTGTCCCTGTGGGCCTCAATCTTATATTTGTACATTTGACACATTACTTTTACTCACTAGTTCAGTAACGCTAGTTAGTATGTTGTTTAGACTAAAATAAATGCATTATTTTCTGTAGAATAAAACAATATAAGGGTAAGAAAATAAAACTAGCATTGGAGCTAACAACACTGCCAAAAAACCTTTTAGAGGGATAAGAAACATCTTCTTATGATCACATTTATGGAATTAATATTTCTTACACATTCATTTACAACCAAAATGATAAAATATAGTTATAAACCTGATTTTGAGCCACTTTATTTATGTTGTGTCCCTCTGCCATGTTTAGTTTTTAGGCAATGAAGTTGATCAACTCTGCGCAGGCTCGATTGTTAATGTCTGTGAGCAGTGACGTATTATTGACAGTTTGCTGTCTGCTGAAATTCGTATTCTCAAAGAAAATGCAAGCACACAAAAAAAAATCGCATTCACAAGTACAAAATCACACATACAGTTTTATATTTTTTTATTCTTAATTACGAAATTCCATGTCTTTTTAGTTTGTATTATCTTAATCATAAATTAATACAAATATTTTTATGCACAAATACCAATAAATATGCACGCATTTTTTTTTAGACATGCACGTCTTTATTGACAGTAACCTTACCCCATAGATACTCGAGAATATCTGAGTAATGTTACTCCAGTCCCTACACTGACCAGGGTCACGGTTCATTGCACTGATTTGGACACAGATACATTTGAAGCTCTGTTTTGGATCATTGTCCTGTTGGAAGATAAATCTCCGTCCCAGTTTCAGGTCTTTTGCAGACTCCAACAGGTTTTCTTCCAGAATGGTCCTGTATTTGGCTCCATCCATCTTCCCATCAATTTTAGCCATCTTCCCTGTCCCTGCTGAAGAAAAGCAGGCCCAAACCATGATGCTGCCACCACCATGTTTACAGTGGGGATGGTGTGTTCAGGGTGATGAGCTGTGTTGCTTTTACACCAACGTATCGTTTTGCATTGTGACCAAAAAGTTCGATTTTGGTTTCATCTGACCAGAGCACCTTCTTCCACATGTTTGGTGTGTCTCCCAGGTGGCTTGTGGCAAACTTTAAACAAGACTTTTTATGGATATCTTTGAGAAATGGCTTTCTTCTTGCCACTCTTCCATAAAGGCCAGATTTGTGCAGTGCACGACTGATTGTTGTCCTATCGACAGACTCTCCCACCTCAGCTGTAGTTATCTGCAGTTCATCCAGAGTGATCATGGGCCTCTTGGCTGCATCTCTGATCAGTCTTCTCCTTGTTTGAGATGAAAGTTTGGAGGGACGGCCGGGTCTTGGTAGATTTGCAGTGGTCTGATACTCCTTCCATTTCATTATAATTGCTTGCACAGTGCTCCTTGAGATGTTTAAAGCTTGGGAAATCTTTTTGTATCCAAATCCGGCTTTAAACTTCTCCACAATAGTATCTCGGACCTGCCTGGTGTGTTCCTTTGTCTTCATGGTTCTCTCTGCGCTTTAAACAGAACCCTGAGACTATCAAAGAGCAGGTGCATTTATACGGAGACTTGATTACACACAGGTGCATTCTATTTATCATCATCAGTCATTTAGGACAACAGTGGATCATTCAAAGATCCTCACTGAACTTCTGGAGTGAGTTTGCTGCACTGAAAGTAAAGGGGCCGAATAATATTGCACGCCCCACTTTTTAGTTTTTTATTTGTTAAAGTTTTAATTATCCAATAATTAAACTTCAAATTATGTCACAAGACTAAACTAGTATGGTCCAAAAAAATTCACTCCCTCAGCATTGACACAGCATGTGGAACGGAGCTTTGGGCCAAGAGGCCAACTTTTAGACCATCCTGTAATAGGACGTTTGTGAGTGGTAAGAAGATGTATATGTTTGCATTGGTAATCGTTATTCCGTGTCCACCACCATCGGCCCGGGGTGGTATTGCCAAGTATGTCGCGCAGTTCAATTTGGCTCTTTTGAGTCGGAGAGCACCGCCCACTGTAGCTAACTGATTAAATCGCTAGCCGCAGCAAGGCAAAACCGTCGGAAATAGTTAATTTGCAGTATTAAATAAAACCATTCGGCATTCATATTAAGTGGGCTGATGGTTATTTTATGTGTTCAGTTGGAACAAAGCAGTATTAATAGGCGGGTAAATGTATGGATCGCATGGTCATTATCGGAAAATAAGTACCTTCAGGGCGGTAAGCAGTCCTGTGCGCCATGTCGGTACTTATTTTTTCGATAATTGACCTGCGTTCTTTATTATATTCTATATTATCCCTTAAATAACGAACTATTCAAAGTCATATCTTGATTATTTGTATACCAAGTATTAATGTATGGACTTTTTATCAATATTTT